TGAAGGCTGTGTCTTCTTAGGAATTGTTTAGGCAAAATAGCCATATTTTGATAACATCATTGAAAAACAGATTTATCAATTCTTTAATAGAGAAGACTTACAAGCAATATTCAAAGTCAATCTATTGCTATGAACTGCACTGGTTTCGTCGTCTGTCCACGCTTTACAATTCAACATCCAGTTGTTTATCGATCTATTTGGGTAAAATTGCAAGGTACTTTCTACAGCAACAAGTCCATTATCACTTTCATTGAGTATCTGCGTTGACGAGTTTACAGTTATCTTATGTTTAACGCTTTTATTGGATTCATATACATACCAACTGACTCTTGGTTGTGGTCGACCACGTGAAGTCTCACACTTGATTGTTTGTCGGGAATGCTCTTTTATGAAACTAGAACTTGGTCCAGAAAGTACTACATTTGCAACAGAAACTGAAATATATTAAAGTGATTAATGTAATGAATGATAAAATAGAGAATAATAAATGCATATTTTTATGTAAATATTATTAATTAGATAAAACCCTTTTTAGAGACTATTCGAACAAAAAGAAACGAAGCCAAGAAATTTTAAGAAACAACTTTACGTGTGAGATCAAGCATTCATTTATCTCAAGTCGACTGCATAAAGTATATTAACGAGGGAAAAGATGAAAAGCATAATGTTTAGGTTATACCGAGTTAAGATTTAAATAAATGTGCATGGGAAATGCACACACGTTAACAACTGCACTGAAAAATGAATTAACGAAGTTAAGATTGTGAATAGCATAGATAACTTATCGATTACAAAACAGACATACTTTTGAAGGTACACAATGGCACATTTTCATGGAATTGTCAACTGCGATGATTAAACGGGTTTCAAGAAAATCTCCAAAATATATATGCCGAGAGAGTGTTAATGAAATGAATCCCCATCAATTAATACTTAATCAATTGCCATGGTTACCGAAGAGGAAATAACTAAAACACTGACATGACCATTTAGATAATAATACCAAAATGTAATCAAGTGACCATAACGGAAGAAAATCATCTACAAAGGCTCGGCGAAACAAGACATAATAAGAGAATAAAACAAATTTGTTCCATGGGCTTGAAAAATTAAATATAAATGTACAACTAACCTTTAAATGGTGCCAATAATGCAAGTGTCAAATTGACTTTTACAATGATGGTTGGTGTATAATTATATTTATTATTGTAACATCGTAAAAGTATTATAACTTACCTTTCACCAATATTCTGACAGAATTACTTGTACTGCCGTAACCAAAACAATACCATGGGATATTCAGATCCTCTTGTTGTACACGTAATATTGTTACGTTAAAAGATGTATCAGATGGACAACCAACTCTGTAAAAGTTGTCATCAGCGAAGATCCCACCGCCACTACAACTGCCATTTTGATGTCTTACTATAGTTGGTGTAGACTGGTTATTCGCATTCCACTTCGTCCATTCGACATTGTTGTAACCAGTATAGGTGCAGGTTAACGTGAGTGCCTCGTTTATATCGACGTAAGGTTTGTTTGGAGTTAGAACAATACTTTGACATGAAACACCTTTTAGAAAATTATAATTAATTAGTTAAGTTTACGTGTTTTATTTATTCTATTTGTTTAAAAAAAAACTTCGCACTATGAGAAAGTTTTAAAACGCAATCCTTAAATTCCGACTGTTTTATTTATAAAAAACCGTGTACATTTCTTACTTGAAGTATTCTAAGTGTTATTGTTGTAACGAATCACACAGATTTTTGTGACTGAAAATGAACAATATTTCGAAACGAGTATAAAAGTAAGCCATACAGAATTTCATGGCGGTATAAATGGATTATAAATCATAACACATTGCTGAAAAAGAAAGATTAGTGAAAAATTATAAGAATTCAAGAATGGAAACAAATAAGGATGTAACGTATTGATTATTGCGAAATAAGTTCATGACATATGTCAAATGCAGCTGTACTGAAAATAGATGCTAACAAAACATTATTAATTGTATAAAAAAACAATGATTTACAAATCCTTGTACTTACCATAAATGAAACACAAAGCATAGATACTAAAATGGAATTTCCAGTTCTGCATTTCCGAAAGTTAGCAGATCACTGCATGATGAGATATTAAGTAACCTGCAAAAAATCTGTATAGTTTTAGTTTTACATTGTTAGATGGCGTCATATCACTGTTTCTGTGAGTATTCAGATTTTCAGCCTGAAGATGTGATATTCCATTCATTAATCATTTAACAATGATTTATGACAATTTCATCACCAAAGAATAGCTATCTGACAAATTATAACTATCGAAGATAAACATTGGACATCTATGGTACCATGATTCAAATAACCATTAGAAAAAATAAAGAATTTCTCATAATGCACAAACATTAGAATTGAAGTCAGCTACAAAAAATGCAGAACAAATAGCCATTGTAAACATTAATATTGACTTATCTATCCTTAACATGAGAACTCATTTAAAATTCAAGTTCAGATATCTCAAGACGAGGTCAGTGAACCCCACAACTTAAACTATTGATTTTGTCAATTCTAAATGTTATTTTTTGTACTACAATTGAGATAAATCATAGCATATTAAAAGGAACACATCTACTACATCATGAAAGACAGACATACAGAAGGACGGATGTTCAAACATTTATTAATTGTGACAATTGCAAAATGTAAAAGAAACTTGCTTTACAGTATCTGCAAGTAAACAAAACATTTGTTATGAAAAGACATGATAAATATAATATAATTACAAATGTAATGCAACTTGCTATACATGTTAACTCCCTCTCCTGCAAATTCTTCATTCGCTTCTTCATATTATATATTTATTGATTTATAAAGTTTATTTCGATCAGTTTTGCATACCATGTTAATAAAGAAAAAGTAAAACTTTGCATACAGTGTTACATGTCTATTGTATGATTATCTATGTGCATAAACAGAAGAGGGTGAAACTTCCTCTCGAGAAATAGGAGAAGTTTGTCTGTACAGATTGGGTTTTTCCGGATAATAACTTTGAATTATTGATGAAAATTCAAGGAAACTATAAAAAGAAAGGCAATAAGAAAAATTGCATTGCGCCTAAAACCGTTAATCTATCTTCATTTCTGTTTTTAATGGCAACTTGCTTATACGCTCAGTAAATTGGTTAAACAACTGAACATAATTTAAAGGAACTTAATATATTAATATGTGGCTTAGAGAGAAAAGAGCCGGTTGGTTCAAACCTTTTGGACTGGGGAAAGCCGTTGTTTCCTTGAGCATTGCATTCATTGCTGCTAAGTACTGGTTGGTTCAAGGAACGAATTTGATAGTGTTTATTAAGTTTATAGCTTCCAACATTATTGAACTTCGTATAAATTCGTAGAAACTAAATACACCATAATTTCAATTCCATGTTATAACAGACACAGTTCGGACAGCACAGTTCGCACGTACACACACAGGGAATCCGTTAAACTTGATTTTTTTGTATATGCACGTGCCAGTATAATCCGTATTTCAGTCTCACGTATCGTCTTCGTTGTCAATAAGAATATTTTGACATCCCTATAATTCCATCAAATTTACGTGAACTTTTAGTTGGAATTCTGGTCTGGCGACGTATAAGGTTGCTAGGATTGTCGGTAGTTTTAGGCGTTCTATTCAGAACCTTTGGCATTGTTTCCAAGCAACAGGACAAACAAAAGATTTACCACGAAGATAGCCGCGCTTCAAGACGTCTGGTCAAGAGCGCTGTACTAATGAATACAATGGCTGTGAAAGAAATGTTAAATGGGCACACGTACATACTGTCGCAAGATAGGACACCAATAAAATAGCGATATTTCCTCCGACGAGTCGAGATTTTCAATACATTGAAGTGGTTATCGCACACCTGTCGTCGTGACCAATGTGAATCAGGATACCCAAGTGTATCAAGATAAGAATCTTGCGCAAGGAACGTCATTCCGCAGGTAGAAAATAATCCCATTTTTATTGTTCTGTTTCAATAAGATAATGCCACAAGCTAAAGTGTCAAGATCACTTGTTGTATTATTTTGACTGACGGTTAAAACGTAGCCCTATTTCATCGGCGAACATCATTGAACTAACACATACCTTAATCCTGGATTAAAGCAACAATCCGCAGGCAGAAATAAAGACACTTGACGGTTATGTTTGTAAATGACGCCAAGCAGTACTTTTTGTTCAAAGTGGCCACACATGGTTCCAATATATGATATTGGTCTTTGATCAATACCACATTTAATCAACTATTTGAATTAGTACTGGTAAACACTGTGCATTAAAATTTGCCACAATATTCACATTAAAACACTTTTAAAATACAAGTAAAGAATGTTTTAATCTACTTTCCATATATCGTATATTTTACTTAAACACAGCGGAAGTGTCTTTTTGTTTAGCATATGCAAGTAAAATAATGTATAAATGACAAATAATTAAGTTTTTTTATGTAGGACTTGCAGATTTTAGAGTGCTGCAAACATCAATCCGTAAGTCTTGCAAAAGTTGTTTGGCTGCTATTTTGTTAACTCTGTTTACTTTTTTCAAATCAAAATAGATATACATTGTATTTTTTTGTTGGTCAGTTTTATTGATATCAATATTGACATGTGTATGTTATAATGATTAAAGTGTAGTTTTTTTAAATAACAGATAACCCAATCGGTGTGTTATCAAAACTAAATGCATAGATTTTTTTCAAACAATAGACAATAGAAACAAAAGACAAAATATAGAGAATACATGTTTCGAAATATATTTAAATTCATTTTAAAAAACACAATTATAACGAAGTTGGTAGTTATAAACGTGATACTGAGAAATGGATTAAATGATATAATTGGCTGGGTTATACGAACAGCAAAAAATCTTTTATACATTTCAATTTATTGACATTAAATCTGCTTGAAAGTTTCGTCAGGGTTCACATTTTATCGCATTTTGTTTCCTTTTACATGAATGCATGTAAAATGTAGTAGATAACAAAGCAAGACGGTAGTTAATTGAAAAATCAACTGAATATCAGTCGTGTTTGTGTACAATCTGACGTGTTTGAGTAATTGGATATCAATAAAAATAACCTGTTCAACACATAGCTTTATTTATCTAGATACAGAAAAGTAAGTAAATTTAGTTTTATAAATTTTGTACAGCATATCACATATAATTGATTATCTTTTGAATTTATTAAGTAAATGTTTGGACATGGCTATAAATATTTGTAGATACTTAAATGCAAAACGCTTATTAAAACGTATTATAATATGAAAGGTTAAATTTAAATGCACGATTTTTGTCGCAACATCAATATTGACGAACTATTTTTTTTGTTTTCTTAAGCTTTTGCGTGATGTGTGCGCTACGATTGTTCCTTCTAAAAAGTTGTATATTTGGAGTGTACATTTTAGTCACAGGTAATCATTTTAGAAACTATATCAACAAAATCAGTAAAATATACATTAATTTAAAAATTATAGAATCTAGTTTAGCGAACTAGGTGATAAGACTAGACACCAGAACAAGATAAAGACCCATAATGCTCCAGAAATGCTTTTATTTTTAGTACAAATTTGTTCTGTAATTGTTTTCGAAAAGTTGCTCATTTGCCAATTACCATCTTTGTTTCTGTTGCATTTTGATAATTACTAAGAATATTGGGATCTAGTGTTTTGAATAGAAGGTAAAATACTACTTTGTTTACTTTTTGCTACTTTTATAACACATTATTTCTGATTCAAAGCTACTTTTGTCTGGTGATAAACATATAAAATGCTATGAAATCTTTATTTAAAGGTTATAAAGTCAGGTTTGTTTTTCCAAAGATTGAAAAACCTTATTTATGTTTGAGGCATAATGTGCATTCATGTAACTAGTAAATTACTTAATTCTCGCGTTTATTATGTGGTTAACGTGTTATGTAACAATATTTATAGTTTTAATTATATAAACATCTTAACTTGAAAAGGTGAATGATATTGCCCATTGAAACATCTTACTTAACATGAATTTTCAAAATCTTTTTTCATTAAAGCATACAATTTCCATAAGTTTTATTAACATTATTATCTTGGTTCGACTATTTGAAGAACAGAACTTTGGTTAAGTGTTTGCGTGTAAGTTGTTATCTCTAAAAACTACAAAAGGTGATGGACTAAAACTTCGCACTCTTATTTGTGAGAGCATAACAAGAGATCAATATCTAAGACCAATAACATAAATGCTGACAGAATTGTGGCCCTTTTTGACCTTATTACCCAGGCTTTTGTTTGACTATCAAAAATTGAGAATAGTCAAACCTTACATGTCTTGTTAAAATTTTAAAACAACAACAACAAAAACAAAATGTATATCTTGCTCCTTATAAAGTCAATTATCTTTCTTAGAATGATGTCTTTAAACCATATTGGGTAACTTTAAAGATGGAAAATGTAATGTCTTTCTTATACAAAGTGTTTACATTTTTTCAGAGGCAAGTGTTTTGCTGCAAACATTTGATGGAAATACGAGTTATTTTAAAGGGTCTTCAGTAGAACTCGTGTGCACAATTATTCCCTATAATAATGAGATGACTTGGTATGTGGACAATAAACCATACGCAGGGTGTTTTTTGGGCACATGCGGACCTTCTCCAAACAAACCATATACATTTATATTCACCTTCAATGAAAGTGCAAGGGAATTCAAGTTCACTATAGATTCAGTGAATTTATCTCACGCTTCTCTTTCATTTGCTTGCGACGATGGATTTGTGAGAGAAACTATTTCTATCAATGTGACAATAGGTAATTTTAATAATGCATACCATGTGCCACGACCATAGATATATCATTATCGTTTGATCGAAAATAAATAAAACATGATTATCTGTTTATTTGAAGTGCTATTTCTAATATATGCTATTTTCCTCTATCTTACACACGGTGGGACAACTGAGGTCTAACTCCCCAAATTAAGTCATATGACCTACACAAATGTCGGTGTGATTTATAACCAAACAAATACAGAAATATAGAAATTTGTTGCTATAGCAATATTCATATTTTGAACTACACAACTGTCAAGCTGGATTGAGATCTTACGAAACTTTAAATAAGTTGCAACAAATGTTCAATGGATTTCCTAGCATCTATTTATTTTCTACTATTATATAATTGTACTGGTAAAATGAATCGCATCCTGATTACAAATTACTTTCTTTGAAAATGACAATTTGAAATCAAAAAGCTTTGAAGCAACAATAAAACGACTTGCAGTATTGATATTCAATGCTTAATTAAGAAGTTAATTTCAATCAAACAGGACGACACGAATAATTACCAAACTGCGGCATAGGTAATGTCTAAGAAAACTGTCCTGTGCTTAACATCGACGTATCTTAAACCCTTCTTGACAATCCATACATTCATGTCTCAAGTCATGTCATCCAGGGCCCATGACACAAGCATGCATTTTCATTGAATTTTAGGTATCTTAAATATAAAATTCTGGTTGAATTTTGCGCGAAAATTCCATCTTGTTTATGGTAACGTAATGTAAAGTATTTGCTTGACAATCCATACAGTCATGTCTCACTATTCATGGCCAATAACTCAAGTATGAATTTCATTGAATTTTAGGTATTTTAACTATGAAATTCTGGTTAAATTGTGCGTATAAATTTTATTTTAATTAACAATAATGTAGTTATTGTCTATGGTAAGGTAAGATAAGGTCGCCTGTCAAGTCACATAATGAATTGTGACTGAGTATCTGTTTGTTATTTTGCAACAATTCCGATTGTAATTTCTTTTAACTCTTTACAGGCATTTTCAGTAATTTTTTACAAAAAACTATTTAAAACGCATAAGTTTTGCATTGATTATTAGTGAATTTAACCAGGAACCTTGAATGATAGGGACATCAAACGTTTGAGATAAACACAAGAAATCTAGTTTTAGTTACAATGTTGTCATACCATAAACAAAAACAAAAAATGACTACAACTACACATATGCTAGAAACGATGTTCAATAATGTCCTGTTATGCTTTTTTCTTCATTGCTGAGTAATTGCAGTTTGATAATTCATCATAAGTTCACTTAAGAATTAAAAAGTTAAAGTATCAAATTTAATAATGTTTTGCCAACGAAGAAAGTATGTTTTTGGCTCACTTGAGCTGGCTCAGAATACCATTAGGGCAGATAAATGACCACCATCCGTCGCCTGTTACGTTTAACAATAATAATAATAAAAAAAAAGGTTTCACTGCACCTTAAATATAGCGTATCCGCTTATCGCATCTATAATATTAAACACAACGTTGATAAAAAATTTACCTACTCCACTAAGTATGCTTTAATTCAATATTTCAAATGCATGTTTAGGTCAACTCCAATATCATACTTCTTAAACAATCTAAGTAGAAAATAATCAATGAAATTCAAAGCCAAAAATAATTCAAATTTCTATAAGAAGTTTCATAATTTGGCTTTGATATCTACAGTTCTACAAAGAATAACTTTTTTATTATTATCTTTAAAAGGGGGCCTTCCAGGCCAGTTGTATGAATTTGTCGCATCATTAGGCATGTCGAAACAGAGCCAAGACAAACATATACATATTTAGACTTTATGAGCAGAAGAACTGAATATATATCACATTTAACATTTCTAATATTAGAACATAAAGCGAACATAAGCGGATACTTATTTGTATAGTTTATTTGGTAGTTTCTATATTTTTCTAATATGTTAAGATATTTATATATTCTAAACTTTATGTCGGTTAATGTTAAATAAATATCTACTTACGTTGAAAGGTATCCTCGTCGATAAAAAAACATTAAGTGTGCATAAACTCGCAGCTACAAACTTTTTTTTTCCTTGGGAATTTTTTTCCACAAAAAATTTTTGTAAAAAACAGTAAATTTGCCCATACCCATTGTAGTTTCAGGGTTCATTTAGCCTATTATCTATAAACATGTAACTCTATTATCAGTTATAAAATATCGGACATCATGCCAATTTTTCCTTTTTTCCCACTTCATGGCCATTTACAATGTGAATTAAATGAGCCGTTCACGTCAAAACCACATAGTGCGTGGTCACCAGCGATGAATCTAGACCAGCATGCGCATCCGCCAGTTGTCAGATCCATGCGTGTTCCTACAGTTCTTACTGATCATGGTCTGTGGAGCGAACAGCATGGAATCCGATCAGCTCCGCGCGAACGAACAAAATCATACGCATCACAGGATGCGCATGGCTACGTCTTGATTCCATGCCTAGGCGCAAACACATTACGCTTCTATCGTTTTGTACACTTTGACGCCGTCATTATTTATAATTCAGAAACCACCGCCAGGTTAGCTGCGGTGCCATTACGTGTAACCAGTTCTTCCGTTAAAATGGATAATGTTATTTGATGGAAGACAATAAACCAAGTTTAACAAATACTTCAAATAACTTAAAAATACCTTTCATGATATGAAATGCGAATCCATTAAAAGTAATATACAAACAAATAAATAAGCACATTATAAATCAAAGACATGTTGCTAAATGAAATAATACACGAATAAAAAAGCAAATGCAAAAAATAAACTAAAAAAAAACAAAAGTGATTAAGTACTTATTCACAGAAAGTCAATTTTGGTCATCAAATGAATTTATCAAATTAAATTTATTAAATTAATTAAATTATGAATTATAAAATTGTAGAAGATACTTCCATGAACAAGGATAGCTTTTTTACTTGTAGGTTAAATTGTAAAGGATTACAAAACTCTTACAAAATGTGTTGTTTGTTTTTTTTTTTGTTTTTTTTTTGTTTTGTTTTGTTTTTTGTTTTTTGTTGTTTGTTTTTTTTTTTTTTTTTGGGGGGGTACGTTCAACAGCGACCATTACAGGTCATATCATTGACGTTCCAGCGCTTTACTTCGGTGGAGGAAGACCTCAGTGCCTTCCGTGCATTATTTCAGGCACGAACGCGGCACCTAAGTAGGAGCCACCGACGAACCCGTAAGCCTAGCTGGATAGCTCATCACATTGAAAGAATCCAAGAAGCCCTATCGGGATTCTCGAACCCACAAGCGGTGAAGGGCAAGTGGTTTAAAGTCAACGACCTAACCACTCGGCCACGGAACGCCCCACAAAATATGTTACATACTGGTATTTTACATATATTTAGTAAACGTCATCGGAGTAATGTAACCCATATAAACATTTATAGATATCCTTCGAAAATTATATAGATAATGTTCATGAGCTGATCAGTCTTTTTATATCTTAGGCAGCTTTTATAAATATTTTACCCAACCAATTTGTAATAAGACATTGTTGTACATTCGCTATTAAAATAGTTATTCTTTTACAAATACGACTTATTAATCTTAGGTGGATAGTGAAAAAAGGAAAACAACGTTACTTTAAACCAATACACTCAGTAGAATGATATCAGATAGGACTTAAAGCTACAGTCCTACATATGAGCCAACAATATTAATATTAGAAATTCAACATTTGGAAAAATGTGCTTAAATTTAGAATTAAAAACAATATTTTTGCGATGGGTATACCGTATGATAAAATGCAGTAAGGGCTGTTTTTCACATCTTAATCCACATTTACGTGGACTGAAAGTACCCGTAATTTGTAAATTAATCTTTTGTTCACTTGTATTTTTTTTAAAATACATATTCTCTTTTTTTCTAGGAAATAACATGAATCTAGAGACATGCTGCTTAATCAATCAAAGGGGGCATATATATGTGCGATAACAGTTCTATTTATAGAAAAGTTCTGCATTCGATGTTTAGTAGTAAAGGAACAATTATCGTATCTTATGGTAAGTGCAATTATATATGTGAAATACGAATGAGAAGAAAAAGAACAGTTAACAAAATATGCAATTGCCTCAACGCCATTCATATTGAATTATGTTGTTAACTGTCAACCTTAAACCCACGGGGAGGAAGTGTTACACGAGGGATGGAGTTCTTATGATAACTTGTCAAACAGTTCTTGTGATAACTGTCACGTCACGGAGTTCGTCGGAAAACTATTGTATATACTGCAAAAACACTCGTCAGAAATGGTAATTTTCATCTTTAAAAAAGTGAGTTTTAGGTGCTCAATTAAATTAATGATTAAGTCTGCCTTACATATTGTATGATGTGTCAAAAACTGGTTCATAGTCCATTTTTCATCGCCTCTTGCTTAAAATCTAATAGTTTCAGAGTAAAATTTCTAGATTATTTGCCAATTTGTTTATTTCAAGTCTTCATCCTTGCAATACATAATTATCTAATAATAATGCAAAAGTGCAAACATAAAGCCCCGGGTAACAAATGTATACCCGATTTTTCAAATGTCCCGGAGTTCTTGAGATAACTCAAAATATGTCCTGGAGTTCTTATGATAACTTTTGTTACTGCCAATGTGTTTCTTGTGCTAAATCAGCACACCTGGAATTGCGGAAATTCACATATATTTTTTACCGATACAGGTTGACTTCTAGTCGATAGATTGTAAAAATCTTTGTCAACAATTCCCAGCATTAATTTTTTTTTTGCATGTTTAATATCTTAGCGTAGGTTATAACGAAATACCGTATACGTGCTATGCATTAATACTCTTGTGTTCGAAGGGTGACAGAAAAGGCCGACAATATTGCGTTTGGGGAAATAAACACACAGTCAATAAGTCATATGTACTTTTACTTTGCTTTATTTACTTCTTAATAATATATAATGATGTTTTCCGACAACAACATTAACTTTATGAAGTAATTTAGTAACAAAATGTTCTTTGCTCTTGTTAAATTGTTTTTGTAGAGTTTATAACAATTGTTTTAACGAATCCTTGACCTGCAACAAGAGTTTCCTCCGCAGATGTCACTATGGTATCTATCGATGTACTCATAAAAACGGCATGTAGGTCTACACCAACCCCTGTTATTTGCGCATGGGATGCTCCAGCCAGCTTGATTCTTGTTAAGGTCCAAATATAAAATAAAAAAATATTACCGGTATTTCTAATATAGATATCTTGATAACAATAGGGATGGGAAGATCCCATTTAAGTAAATAAATGCTATTTTAGATTGAAACTTCCTTCTCAAATATACATTTGCTAAATTGCGTGAAAAAATGTTATTATGAAAATTACAAATACAAAAGGATCGTTGATAGCCGAGAAGACAATAAGCCTTGAAACCAAGGGCAGATAAAAATTCCGATAAGATTGACGTTTCGCTTTAAACATAATTGTTTATTTTCAAAATACATTACATGTACGTAATGTGTTTAAAAACTATACTTTATTTTGTTGTGTCCCTCCCTTTTGAAAAACTAACAACACGAACAAAAAAATCAGTAACAACAGAAACTTTTCATAAAAAAAATCAAATAAAATCTCCAAATTCCCAAACGCCTTGTTCAATGGATTGGATTGGTGGATGGAGGGGCGGATGTATAGAAATAGACAGACTAACAGAAAGATTTATTAAATAAAACACTAGGAATGAGTTTATTAAATGTTAAATAGGTCATAATTTTTCACAAACAAAGGATACATTTTTTCCTGATATTATACTGCCTAACCACATGTATGCCGTAGGCCGCCACTAAAGCTACAAACACGTATGGTGCCACGGCCATGCCTGCATACGCCGCGATTGGCAGTGCTATTTGAGCTTGACGGCTTTGCCTGGCGAGTTTAACACTTGGCTGTTCTTCCTTTGTCAATAGTTCCTTTTCAAGCTGTTGCTTCAAACACAGCGCCGGAGTTGTCATGGTTAGGAGAAAAACATAGAATACGAAGTAGACAGTCCTTTTGTCCATCTTGTGCTATTCTTTGAGAATATAAGCCCTATTTTATGAAAGAAAAAAAACAACTTATTTTATAATTTGGAGATTAAAAAACATCACAACGATCATAGTAATATTAAACAACTTAATATCAACTGCATTCATAGAGAAATGGTTCAGTTGTAAGATCCCTGTTAAGGATACTGTTAAAAGTACTGGCCAGGAGCAGGAAATCTACAATATAGTTCTTCACTTCATCCAATTGTTAATATGTATTTGAGAGGGTGGTGTACCTGTATTTCGTTAAAAATATATATATATATCGTTTGCAATAAGCAGAGTAGAAGATATAGGAGATCAATTGCCCAATGACCAGACTGAGGTAAAGCTGTTTCGTTTGTAAACGCGCCACACACACGAATGACAGCAAGACTTTTTGATGCAATTCATCATATCAATTTTGCTTAATATGACAAATTCTAATGAACTATTAAACAGCTACCCTGCAAAGAAAGGTACTTCTGATTACAAGTATATTTTTACAAAATATTAAGATATTAAATATATCGATTGATATTCAAATAACGATAAAATAAGAACCAAAATAAAGATAATTATAAAAATAATTATACTTATAACCATTATTAGTATCAAATTCTATATTTTATAATAAAAATAATAATAATAATTAATAATAATAATAATATAAACACATTACTTGTTCTTTTATGATAGCCTCATATAGAAACATTGAAACAAGGAGCTTTGTTGATATTATTCCATAGATAAATTAAACTGTATTTAATCTAAAAAGCATCTAAATCTATCTAAACATTAACGTAGGAAATATTTGTGTAACAGTGACATGTTTTACGTAGGAAGAAAAATAAAATAGTACTTACAGATTTGTTGTTGCACAGAGAATGATAAACTTAATTTGTCCTCGGTATATCTTAGTAGCCAAATTAGTTTTGAGTCTGACAATAACAATGCACTTGTGGCTTTAAAAGTGACAGACTCTTTCTAACAATATTAAACTGACTAAGTCTCAGCTCTTGACCAATGAAGTATATTTTGGCGATTGCCATTCACCCAATGAAAATGCGTTTTGGGTTAAAAGGAAGTAGTGTTAACAAACGATGCTTGTTAGACACTTCTAAAATGTATACATAATCCAAGACATATACATTTTAACAATTGCGCAGCATGAATTTTCACATCTGTTTCATAGTACTTGACATACTCTTCACATGCAGATGTTAGATAATTAATACAAGGCCGATTGTAAGAATTTATAGCAGGAAAATGTTGCACCAACCAGGAAAATCAGCCTTTTGTTGTTTATTTTTATAGCTCACCAGATTGTTGTTTTACTATTTGAGTAAACAGTTTATGTGGCGTGTGGCAGCTGTAAGGAGTTGTCCCGTATTTTATCCAAGTCTTGTTGCATTATAATTCGCATTCGGCAAAGTTGATTTCAAAACTTATAGTGTTGATGGTTGTATATCACATAGGCCAGTGCTATTTGCGTAATTGATGTTGCACTTTCCATAACCACTTATGAACAGACCCAATAAACCTGTGTAAATAAATTTCAAACCTTTGTCAGTGCCTTCGAATGATTTTCCCTTTTCAGAATGTTTGCTAATGAAATGAGAGTTTATGCTAGCTTGAATGCGGAGGCCCGATTATTCGATGTTTCATTGACGGCTTTCAATATCTACTGTTATATAAGTATGAAATAAAGAAATCACGACTCTTTTCCGTTTAAAATGTATTAAAAACATTTATGAGTGAAATCACTTAACCTTATACATAATACACATTTAAAAACTAACTTGTGTTTTTTATTCTCTTTCGCTAGTTAAAACTCTAAGCAAACCTGATTGAATTTTGCTTGCAGTTAATTACCTAACTGGGAAGCTTTCAAGTCCGACAAAGCATCGTCTTTTTTTTTAAGCCGAATCCGAGAAAATGGGACAAAATGTTATACAATCTCGAGAACTAGAGTTCTCCTAAGAGCAATGAAAATGAAACAAAACAAAACGAAACAAAATGCTGTCGCGATTTGATTGGGTCTGTCCTTAAGAAATAACAAAAAAGACAACTAGCGCCGACTCGAGCAATATTCAGTCTATAACAATGTATTTCAACAATGATCCTGTAAGTTATAGAAGACACGGAGCGATGCGCGATATTTTACCGAAGCGAAATTCCAGCAAAACATAAAGCGAGGCACGATATCCTACTGCGAAAGCTTGTGGACGGGATACTTCGACATTGCAAGATTTCGTGTTTTTATATTTTTCTGGTACTTCGGGACCATTTATTCGAGCACTATTTAGTGTTGAGAATTAAGAACCGTTCAAGCCGGTGCTAGAGGGATGTTGCATTTTTTTCATTATAACTCATGTACAGACTCAATCAAACCGAGTCTGCAATTTTGATGTAATTTTGTTGTGATTATGCTTCAAATGGATCACTTTGTTTCCAGATTTTTACAATGTCGTGCCTCGCTTCATGTCTAGTTGGAATATTGCGTCTCGCCCGATTCTGAAAGGCCGGATATTCCATAATTATAGTATTACCCGGATTCTTTTAGGAACTCATGCACGTTGAAAGTGCTTTTTCAATGGCGGATCTAAAAACAGAAATTCTCGGAAAATGGCTATTTTTTTATATATATTTCTGATAAAAACAAAATACGCGTAGGATGGTCTTCACATTTCCTCCCTGAGATTATTAAGGGGACGTGGACGAGTGACCAGTGATGTCAAAAAACCATGTGCCCCTAACCCCTGTAGGTTCAACACTCATTTGGGGCGTCGAACTATTCATGCGAGGAAGACCTTCCAAGGTTTATATCTATACCTATCTGCGGGCGTACGCAATAACTGTCTCTTCATATCGTAATAGTTATCGTATGCACACGTAATAATACTAGTATCGTGTGGCCCCTTTATGCCACTGTAGATACTACCTTGATGTTGCTTAGAATATTTCTTATATCATTTATAAAACTTTAAGCATCGGATAGAAACGTGTCACAATTAAACGATAAAAATGGACTCTTATTTATTTTGCCTGCATACGTCGCGATTGGCAGTGCAAGTTGAGCTTGACGGCTTTGCCTGGCGAGTTTAACATTTGGCTGTTCTTCCTTTGTCAAAAGTTCCTTTTCAAGCTCTTGCTTCAAACACAGCGCCGGAGTTGTCATGGTTAGGAGAAAAACATAGAATACGAAGTAGATAGTCCTTTTGTCCATCTTGTGCTATTCTTTGAGAATATAAGCCCTACTTTATGAAGGAAAAAAAAACTATTTTATAATTTGTAGATTGAAAAACATCACAACGATCATAGTAATACTAAACAGCTTAAAATCGACGGCATTCATAGAGAAATGGTCCATTTGTTAGATCCCTGTTAAGGATACTGTTAAAAGTACTGGCCAGGAGCAGGTAATCTACAATATAGTTCTTCACTTCATCCAATTGTTAATATGTATTTTATGTATTTGAGAGGGTGGTGTACCTGTATTTCGTAAAAAATATATATCGTTTGCAATAAGCGGAGTTAAAGATTTGGGAGATCAATGGCCCAATGACCAGAGGTAAAGCTGTCTAGTTTGTAAACGCGCCACACACACGACAGCAATACTTTTTAATGCAATTTATCATATCGATTTTGCATAATATGACAAATTCTAATGAATTATTAAACAGTTACCCTGCAAAGAAATTTAGGTACTTCTTATTACAAGTATATTTTTACAAAATATTAAGATATTAAATATATCGATTGATATTCAAAGAACGATAAAATAAGAACCAAAATAAAGATAATTATAAAAATAATTATATTTATAACCATTATTAGTATCAAATTCTATATTTTATAATAATAATAATAATAATAATAATAATAATAATAATAATAATAATAATAATAATAATAATAATATAAACACATTACTTGTTCTTTTATGATAGCCTCATATTGAAACATTGAAACAAGGAGCTATGTTGATATTATTCCATAGATAAAACAAACTGTATTTAATCTAAAAGACATCTAAATCTATCTAAACATTAACGTAGGAAATATTTGTGTAACAGTGACATGTTTTACGTAGGTAGAAAAATAAAATAGTACTTACAGATTTGTTGTTGCACAGAGAATGATAAACCTAATCTGTCATCGGTATATCTTAGTTGCCAAATTAGTTTTGAGTCTGACAATAACAATGCAATTGTGGCTTTAAAATGACAGACTCTCTTTTACAATATTATACTGACTCAGTCTCAGCTCTTGACCAATGAAGTATATTTTGGCGATTGCCATTCACCCAATGAAAATGCGTTTTGGGTTAAAAGAAAGTAGTGTTAAAAACAATGCTTGTTAGACACTTCTAAAATGTATATGTAATCCAAGACATATACATTTTTTAACAATTGCGCAGCATGAATTTTCACATCTGTTTCATAGTACTTGACATACTCTTCACATGCAGATGTTAGATAATTAATACAAGGCCGATTGTAAGAATTTATAGCAGGAAAATGTTGCACCAACCAGGAAAATCAGCCTTTTGTTGTTTATTTTTATAGCTCACCAGATTGTTGTTTTACTATTTGAGTAAACAGTTTATGTGGCGTGTGGCAGCTGTAAGGAGTTGTCCCGTATTTTATCCAAGTCTTGTTGCATTATAATTCGCATTCGGCATAGTTGATTTCAAAACTTATAGTGTTGATGGTTGTATATCACATAGGCCAGTGCTATGTGCGTAATTGATGTTGCACTTTCCATAACCACTTATGAACAGACTCAATAAACCTGTGTAAATAAATTTCAAACCTTTGTCATTGCCTTCGAATGATTTTCCCTTTTCAGAATGTTTGCTAATGAAATGAGAGTTTATGCTAGCTTGAATGCGGAGGCCCGATTATTCGCTGTTTCATTGACGGCTTTCAATATCTACTGTTATATATGTATGAAATAAAGAAATCACGACTCTTTTCCGTTTAAAATGTATTAAAAACATTTATGAGTGAAATCACTTAACCTTATACATAATATACATTTAAAAACTAACTTGTGTTTTTTATTCTCTTTCGCTTGTTAAAACTCTAAGCAAACCTGATTGAATTTTGCTTGCAGTTAATTACCTAACTGGGAAGCTTTCAAGTCTGACAAAGCATCGTCTTTTTTTTAAGCCGAATCCGAGAAAATGGGACCAAATGTTAAACAATCTCGAGAACTAGAGTTCTCCTAAGAGCAATGAAAATGAAACAAAACAAAACGAAACAAAATGCTGTCGCGATTTGATTGGGTCTGTCCTTAAGAAATAACAAAAAAGACAACTAGCGCCGACTCGAGCAATATTCAGTCTATAACAATGTATTTCAACAATGATCCTGTAAGTTATAGAAGACACGGAGCGATGCGCGATATTTTACCGAGAGACACGAAAAGCGAAATTCCAGCAAAACATAAAGCGAGGCACGATATCCTACTGCGAAAGCTTGTGGACGGAATACTTCGACATTGCAAGATTTCGTGTTTTGATATTTTTCTGGTACTTCGGGACCATTTATTCGAGCACTATTTAGTGTTGAGAATTAAGAACCGTTCAAGCCGGTGCTAGAGGGATGTTGCATTTTTTCATTATAACTCATGTACAGACTCAATCAAACCGAGTCTGCAATTTTCATGTAATTTTGTTGTGATTATGCTTCAAAGGGATCACTTTGTTTCCAGAATTTTACAATGTCGTGCCTCGCTTCATGTCTAGTCGGAATATTGCGTCTCGCCCGATTCTGCAAGGCCGGATATTCCATAATTATAGTATTACCCAGATTCTTTTAGGAACTCATGCACGTTGAAAGTGCTTTTTCAATGGCGGATCTAAAAACAGAAATTCTCGGAAAATGGTTATTTTTTATATATATTTCTGATAAAAACAAAATACGTGTAGGATGGTCTTCACATTTCCTTCTTGAGATTATTTAGGGGACGAGGACGAGTGACCAGTGATGTCAAAAAACCATTTGCCCCTAACCCCTGTAGGTTCGACACTCACTTGGGGCGTCGAACTATTCATGCGAGGAAGACCTTCCAGGGTTTATATCTATACCTATCTGCGGGCGTACGCAATAACTGTCCCTTCATAACGTAGTAGCTATCGTATGCACACGTAATAATACTAGTATCGTGTGGCCCCTTTATGCCACTGTAGATACTACCTTGATGTTGCTTAGAATATTTCTTATATCATTTATAAAACTTTAAGCATCGGATAGAAACGTGTCACAATTAAACGATAGAAAAGGACTCTTATGTTTGGGTTCTGGATACTACACTGGTAGAAATTTTCATTGTGGTACAAGTTTTTGATTGGCCGGAAGTGACCTAAAAACGGTATTATTAAAACGCAAAACACAGAACAATGGCTGGTAGACGGTCAACGGACGGGCATTATTATAACCTTTTTATAATTTTATGGAAAAATGTGAGACAAATGTGCTTAAAGAGTCCTTTCTATTGTGAGTCGAACACATCTGTCTCATTTCCAATTCGTCTCAAATATGAATGTTTACGAGCACATCGGTCACACCTCGCGAGACAAATATGTTCCTACAAGGCGTGATTAGGGAGGTTGATGGATTGAGTCTAGTAGTCCAATGAAGAAATTCTCTGAGTCAGAAACTGCCACAAATTGTACGCTGATCAATGAAAATCCTGAGGTTTGAGAAAGAACTCAGAAAAATAGTTTTATAACAACCTCCAAAACAAAGTACTTTAACATAAATTTGATAAACACTTCAGGTCCCCGCTAATGAACATATTTTTACGGGTGCAACATAGCACCGCCAAGCTCTACTTCCGGTCGGAACTTATGCTGACACGACTTTGGAACCAACCGCATGTGAATGTGTAAGCTTTTGAGTTAATTGGGTATTTTCCCCTGGACTTGACAAGCAATTGGGTAACACAGAAACAAAATTGGGTATCATCGAAAAATTTATTGATTTACATTAACCAGATAATGTTGTATGCTTATTTTAGCTAAAACACAAACAAATCAAACAAACTTGAAAACACAAGTAACATAGTCATACTATAAAGTTTCTGTTGCTATTTCCGCACTGAACTCTCCTACATAACTAGCAGAGGTTAAGTTTCTGTATCTTAGCTCTTTGTTCGTACTCACAAACAAGCCGACCTTTCCTCCTTTTCTTCTTTGAAAGCCATTGAGTTACTACTGACTTAATAATGTTAATATAGTCACTTTCACTGCTTCTTTGCTGTTCAGGTCCCAACATGCCTATTCTCAGAAGAATCTCCAGTTTCTCAGTAGCTAAAGATGTCCTGAATTTGTTCTTTAACCGATTCTGCATACTAAAACTACGTTTACATTCTACACAGCTACGTTGCACAGTTTAAGCAATAGATGCAAGCTTTGCCAAGTTTGGAAGCACTGCTTTATGGATGAGAATGATTCTCTTACATAGCACATCAGTCTGTAGCAGGGCATATGCACCACCTATCATTCCTTTTAGTCTAGGCCATTCAGCTTCCAACTGTACTGGGTCTAACAATGGATCCATTTCTCTGACTTCCTCTTCTGTCCCGTCAACTAAATTCCCGTGAACAACTCGGACTTCTTTTGAGTGGCAATAAAATGATCCCAAGCGTTCTAATGCTACTTCAGATTCAGTACCTGTACATGAATTTACAACAACTGGCTCTTACACCTTGCTGAGGTCAATTAAAATTGTACTGTCCTCTTTTCTAAATCTCCCTTTAATGTTCTTTCTAAGACTTTCAATGTCCATGGCTCTTTAAGTTTTAAATTCTGAGTCCATGTTGCTCTGTATGATAACTTTTCGTCTTGATGATAAGCCTCATTCACTAACATTCTGATTGTTTGCTTCATGCTGATAAGATTCTCTCCATCTTTTTCAAGCATACTGCACAGTTTTTGCTGAGTGACATCAAGCAGAGGCTGAACTGAACTAAAGATCAGGTTTTGCTTTTGAAATTCACAACTCAGTAGTTACAGTTCATTTTGAACATCCAACATAAACGCTGTTGTCAGAACCACTTAATAATTTGTAAAGTACTTGTACAGCCCTTTGGCTACTGCGTTTTTCTCTGCTGAATATTTTGAAAGAGCAGTTAAAATAGATCCGTAACTTTCACATACAGCTCTTACAGCATTCCGTAAGCCAAGCCATCTCACAGAGTGAGGTTCCTTGACTGAAAGTTCAGGCTCTTCGAGAACATTCTGTAGTGTACGCAGTGCACTCACTAGAACTACTGAAAAGTGATATAACGAATCAAACTTTTGTCTAAACTTACTCATAAACTCGTTCTTCTTCATTGAATCAACACATGCTAGGTTGAGGCGGTGTGCTATACAGTGTACCTGAACAGAGAATGGTGAAAACTTTGATTTCATTTGAGCCCCAACACCTGTATGCCTCCCCATTACGGCAGCACCGTCAGTTGCTATAGAGGTACAGTTTGACAAATTAAGGCCAAGTTCCTGTAATATCTCCATCATACAGTTGACAATAGTATGAGCTTTCCCATTAGTGAGAGCAACATTGCACAATAACCTTGTCACTTGGCTTAAAATATAAAAAAAATGGTGAAATCTTAAATAAAAATTGGGATCTATTACTTTTGTCTGATAAGGAAAGCGTTAAAAATATACATACCAAGTTCAAACCTATTTTAGCATATAGACGTCCTAAAAACATTCGAGATTATCTTATGAGAAGTGCTTTACTTGATCGCACATTTTTATCTAGCCAATGTGTATATTGTAACAATATAATTGTTCGTTCACAATTTAATAGCAGCATAACAGGTCGTTCTTTTGATTTACACAATGAAGTTAACTGTACTTCGCATAATGTAATTTACCTCATTACATGTAAAGGCTGTAAAAAGCAATACGTAGGTCAGACTAATCAAAATGTATCATGCAGAATGAATAAACATAGATTTTATATAAGAAATTGTGACGTAAATCCAGTTTCACATGTTGCGATCCAATTCGGATCAAACGATAATAAGTGTTCATTGTGAGATTTTTCATTTTTGCCTATAGAAATTATAGAAAACAACATGGACCGGTTATGTAAAGAATCTTTTTGAATACATAAATTAAATACCATGATTCCAAATGGACTAAATAATAAAGTATTGTTTGATTTATAATGCGTTACATGAATATTAATATGTTTGTCTATTATCTTATTTTTATTAACACTGTCTAATAGACATCTGTATCACTGTTGATCCATTTTAATTCATGTACCAGCTTTATTTATAGCATAAATATTTGTTTCTGCATGTTATCATATTTTTGCCGCTAAACGCCATAACGTTTTTCGCGCGTTTAACGCGTGTTCCGTTATGACGTCGCTTCCGGTAATTTTATTATGTTTTGCACTGATGAAGGCATATAGCCGAAACGTATACAATAAAATTTAATTACTGAATGTTCGTGTTTGTGTGGCTTGTCTGTTTACATTTTATATAACGCACACAAATGCTCAAGTGTTACAGTAATTTTATGTTTACAGTAATTTCAGTGCTCTCTAAAGCATAAGTGAATAAAAGGGAGATTACTCAATATCTGAAATTACTGAAGTTGTAAGAACACTGGAAATTGTTGATTGGAGTTCATGTAAAGTATCCCAGCTTAAATTTTGATACTTAACATCAAGGCCATTCAATCTTTGTAATTCCAACATTCCATTTATTTAAGAGGTGGGAAGTTCAGCTTTTGCACAGAAATACACAGTGTTGAAAAGTATTTCATCTTCTTTCGAAATATTAATTTTCACTTGGTCACATTCATTGACAGTGTTCAAATATTTGTTCTGTTCTTCTTTTGCACAAGCACTTTTGTGTTCGTACCGTTGTGTCTTATAATGCTTGATATCTGAAAGCTTAGAGCATCATCTTTCGCCCAAACACTTGTAAGTTTACACTCAGTTTTCATTGATCTACACACATTGCATTGCAGTCTAGTGTTCAGATCACTGTCTTCTAAAATAACAAGCCATGGAAATCTCTTTTCCCAATCATGGTTTGTATCTAAAGTCAGCCGTTCCAAACAATGCTTTATTTTGGTTTTCCGAGACCGACAAACATCGGTCAAAATATTGTCCAGTATCTTGGAAACAATATACAAAGACTGCAAACAACATTGTCTAAAAGTTCATTTAACAATTTTTTTTTCAACATCCTCAGGCTCTGACTCTGTAAAATAACCAAGTATTTTGTTAGACTGCACTGAAATAATATTTTTTTCCGCCCCATTTCGCCATTTTGTTGAAAGTAAATTAACCTTAGTCTGGGCTTCGATTTAGTTATCTCTCATAAGTATATAACGCTTTTCCGCGAAAATAAAAGATTGTAATATAACCAGTCTACTCAATAGATGGACAACGAAATTACAGAAAGGGAAACAGGCTATTTTCGGATTTTTTTGGCAGTTTTTGCTAGGTGAATTACAGTTCGAGATATTGGAAATACGCTAGAGAACCAAAACAAATTGGGTACTGATACTGATTGGGTATCAGATCAGTACATTTTCATGATGATATCAAACATTCAAAAGTGACTATGATAATGCAAATACCACACTTTGTGTGTTAAATTGTTATCAAATCTATCAGTTGTATTGTATATTAAATGATTAGTTTATTAAATTGCTGTATGTTTGTACATTGTAAAATTGGATTTAAAAGGGAGACGCAGGCAAAATTTTCATTTCTTCGTGTTGAAGTTTTCATTCATTTTTCTGTTAATTTCCTCAAAATGAATACACTAGGCAGTCACAGGAACAAAACATTTCTTCATGTAAAGAACAAAATAGCGGTTTCCTAACTTGACCCATGTGTGTCAGGTTGGAGTGTTGTCATTTGGAAATTACCTATCATGCAAATATGTTCGTACCATGCAACTGTATATTTGTTGGACATAAATGGTAGAATCAATGTAACACATATGTTTTTCATTTTTCAATTTAATTAAGATTTGTTTGACCTGGCCACTATGCAAACAGTTTGCTGAGGTTGTTTTAAGTTGACGGGCATGTCATGCCTTTTTCTGTTGTAACTATTTCGTATTTGAATGTGTCCTGTTGAGAGTCGAGAATTACAATAAAAGAGAACATGTTTAATAAAAATGAACGTCTAAAGTTACGTTCTATGCTAAGAATGCAACATTTCTTAACAAAAGGCAGTATTAAAATCTAGAACCGACCATTTCGTTAACACGGGTTGGCACGGTTTGACAGCAAGCAAGCAGACAAACACATCTTCTTTATTAATGAGTGTTGCATCAATGCAAAGCTACTATATAAATCTACAATTGTATTCAATGTTATAAATGTTCTCTGATTTTCGCATTAACATTCTAAAAGCATTTGTATCTTTAAACAGTTTGGGTTAATTCAGACTCGTCTTGGTATATCTAAATACCGCAAACCAGAACATTTCAACATATACAAAGATTCTAATATATAAAAATACATATATCTGCAAAGATAAATATTTGTTAATCAGAGTATATCTCAAAGGCTCTATTCATTCAACATTACTTACTAAATTACACAATTAAATATGGTTTAACAACATTAAATGATTATAAAAAATGTGTAAGATTTTACACGACTTAAATCATAAAATAACATCAATGAAAGTAAGTTTATCTTCAGTAAAATTCAATTGCATATATACAACTTTAATAACTGAATTATGTGTGAGTATATTTATTTTTCAACTACATATCAAAGTATTGCTGAATATTAGTATCAGAGCTACATTACTGGTACTGGTACTGGTACTGCAGTACGTACTGTAGCGATTTTGCAAGTACTGGTACTGATACTGAATTACTCTCACAAAATTTTGCTACTACTGGTACTGCATTACTGCCTTAAAAAGTGGTACTGCTACTGCATTACTATGCAGTACTTTTGGTTTTGATAAAAAAGCATCAATTTTTCTCATAAACTAAAGCTGTATATTACATTATTTTATTTTGGTGAAAAAGTAAGTTATAAAATCTATAGATAATTTGCTGCAATATTCCTTCAAATGTTAACATAGTATTCATCATAAAAAAGCACCAAAGGCTTTAAGTAAAAATTAAATTGAGATAAACAGACTCAATTATAACTCTTTACCTTAAAATATCCTTATTAACATCTTTAATTACTTTGTATTTACTAGAAAAAGAGCAAAATAATAACTAGTTAATTGCTTCTATTCTAAATAATCCTATTTCAAGTGATATTGTTATCACCATAAAAAGTTGTTATTTACTTTGGTATAAATTGAACAGGGATGTGAAGGTGTGAAAGGCAACAAAAGAGTGTTATGTTTTAAATGAAAGATGATTGCATTGTATTACAGTTGACTGGTTACTTAACAATAAGATATGACATGAATATATGTATATAATGTTGTAAATATTGTTTGTAAAAAGTATGTTAAAACAATAAAGTTGTAAAAATGTTATGTCAACTTTAAAGTAAATTATGAAATAATATTTGCAATTATTGTTTGACACTGTATTTTTTCAAACTTTGATGACTATATAAAAGTAATGGTACTGATACTTAATTACTTCCCCCAAAAATGTACTGGTACTGCAGTACCGAGCTAAAATCTAGTACTGGTACTGGTATTGGTATTGCATAATTTGCCAAGTACTGGTACTGGTACTTAAGTACTACACCCTTAGTACGGATGCAGCTCTGATTAGTATATGATTGTATAATGTGTGTGATTCTTTCCAATTCACGTACAAAATTATATGCAGGACATGCAAATAACATGGTAGTAGTTTACCATTTTCGTAATAGTCAGGTACTTATATTTTCATATTGATATAATTTTTCGCCAGTTCGGTATGTTGTTCGTCCTTACCACTAGACATACTCTTTCCATAACCACGTTGTTTCTCTTTCATATAACAAATCTGACTGTACTGGTTAATGTCTTTTCGATCATCTGTTAGTTTCTCGTACGTTGCTGAAATGTCATTATTTTCTTCCATATCTGAAATCAAAATGTTTTCTTCTGTACTTTCAACTGACAAAAATACGACATTTGATGAAAATATTGACCTTCTTCTTGTACATATGACTAATTAAACAATACATGAAATGCAAAAGATGAAAGCACATGTATTTTAATAACTGCTTACTTCGCCACTATTTTTGCCTCACCTGCAATAGATTTACTGATTCCATTGTCTTTGTTTTCCGGGTCTCTCATATTCGATCCGATCATCTCATATTCTTTGTCATCAATTTTTTGTTGAGTATTTGCACCTTATTAGAAGGAAAAGATGAATGATAACATTTAAATTATAAGAAATAAATAGTTGTAGGGAGAGTGAATACAAAAATGAAAAAAGATATATCATAATTTGATTGTGATATCGCATTGTCAGTTTCAATTTAATCAAAGACTTTTTTTAAGTTTGAGTAAATCAATCAAATGGTTAACAATGTTATGAGACCGTTCTTCTGTGAGTTTGTTAGAGAGATTCAAAAGGTTGAAATATGTTCAATAAGTATTATGCTCGATTAATAAAGGTATTTGGAAGCTACAATAGTTGCATTTAAAGACAAATGATGCACAAACTTTTTCAAAATTGTGAACACATGATAAAAGTTCTTGATCATATCCTACCTGATACGTTTAGATATGAATTGTTAACATCCACGTCTGGGCGTTTAAGATTTCTCCTAAAAAGCGAATTGTTTTTAATGATAAAAAATAATTGATTCATGCAAAAAAACCCCAAAAAACATACGTTCTAACTTCTTTTCTCAAAAAATTGAAAGTCAATTCATTTATTAAGCTAAATTTATTTCAATTTTACACATAAATAAGTTCACCTATACATACTAGTTGCGACATGGAAACGTATTACCTTCTTTTGTACAAAATCACACCAAAAACGCTGATAATCGTTGCAAGAAATATTACAACTATTGTTAATCCAATAATAAGCCCTGTATTGCCCTGAACATCAGACTTTGATGACACCACTGAAAGATATCAGACAAGGTTTTACCGATAATATGTTGGCATAAATGAAGCTTTCATACTACAAAAGCATGTCAACTTGAAGATAAATTTATAATGTTTTTTATTATGTAGATAAAAATGAGTTTATCTTTATAAACAAACAAGCATAAAACGTCTTTATAATTATGTGACATGTAGTCAATTTGTCATACAATGTAATATAATTTTAATTCTTTCAAAGAGCCAATATCAAATGTGCTTTATGATTGCTTTGTGTTTTTTCTTTTTTAAGATGGTGATGATTTTGTTTGTATTTTCTTTATGTTAATTATCAAGGCTTAGCAAAACTTTAGCATGTAATAATATACAAAAGACATACTTCGAATCTGAAGAAAATGTTCTTACTTACTGGAATGTTCAATATAGAAAATGTGAGTGTAGGATCCAACGATGTTAGAAATAAAAAGCTTGTATTCGCCAAAATCTGCTTTTGATGCTCGAATAATTGTCATCCCAAAATCCAAATTCGATTGATATATCCGTATATTGTTGCTTTCATTTACATAATTCCATGCTTTTCCATCAAACTTGCTCCATAAGACACTGTTAGGTTTAGGGTAGGAAAGTGCTGTGAAGTAAAGGCTGATCGATGAATTCATTTCGGCAATCACACGATTCCTAACTGGCACAGAAGGGCTTGGTCTTGGAGAACCTACAAAACATGAAACTTTAACATGGATGTAATAAAATGGCACCCATAGCAATTGTTTGAATGCTGACTTGAAAAAAATGTTTGTTCTGATTTCCTTTTTATTATGAAGTATGTAATACTTTTCTCAATATGTTATTTTCATTCAAGATATGTTAAAGATCAAATTTTATTAAATGACCGTTCATTTGAAAGAACAGACATATTTTCACCCGCATGTTTAAAAAAATGTGATAAAGTCAAAGCCTGTACTTTCCATCTCAGTTTTAAGTAACATTATTTACCGATTTAAAGTATGTATAAATCTTACTAACATTCTACGAAGATATTGATTGTTTTCTCCGTATAACCTGGTGTGTTAATAACATTGGCACCTTTACATTTATAAACACCAAAATGAAGACAACTTGCTTTGAAATTGATAAAACATGTCGCATAGTTATGTGAATAATTAATCTGATGCTCCATTTCCGAATTATGTTCATTGTATATTTCACATGTTGGTGTTGGATTTCCTTCTATTTCACATTGTAGACTAACTGTTTCATTTTCACCAACCGTAACAGAATCATGTGCTCCACTGTTCAAAACTGAATATTTAAGGATAAGAGCTTTATCTGCAATCAAAATAAACAAAAGATTCAAGATTGTCAAAGTGATCCTAAACCGCCTACCTGTCTACATGTATATAAGCTCTGATAAAATATTGATAATTAATGGTAAAATTTAGTGTTGGTCCAATTTGTTACAGTCTAGATTAACGAATATCAAAATAATGCGTCTGTATTTGTTTATGTGGTCAAAATATATTAGATGTGGCTCACAATATACCAGGAAGGTCAAATAGATAACATCGGCGCTTGTAATGCCATATCAAATTGAGTATGTGGTCAAGGGTTTGAGACTGTGTATAATAAAAGTAGATCATTAAATAACATGTATAATTAAGAGAGTGAATGAAGATGTCGATCGTCTTCAAATTCTATAAGCCCGATGTTTTTACCCCTAGTTATTTCTACTATAAGTGGTTACCCATAAAAATGTGTATCTTTTCAAGTCAACATAATATAATAAGATGAAAAAATAAGAAAGCCCTTTCTGATTAAGGTATATAATAAATAATTTCATATACTTGTTAAAAAGTTTCATTGAATTATCAATTTCTGAAAATAGCAGTGACATTGTTCAATGAATTTGCTTACTAACTCAACTTCTAAATCAAAACAAGATACTACCTTATATGTTATGAGATATAAACTTACAAAGAACATCAATCATTACAGTTGTAGTTTGCATAGATCCAGACCACGAGTGTTTTGAGATACAAGAGCAAGATGATTGACCACGAAAACCTGACCAAGTAACAGTGCTGGTTACACTTTTGTCTTCAATGGTAACAGACGTTGGTTTACTGTTATAGCAATTCCATGTCAAATTAGCTAATGGATTTCCACCATGTGAAGAACAAGACAGGTTGCCAAGCTCAGATTCTATGACTGTATATTTTTCACCGTCTGTGAATTCAATGATTACAGGTTTCTGCGGAGGATCTTGAAATGTTTTAGAAAATTTTTACAGCAAAATATCAAATAATTATAATTGACAAAATCTATTAAAGCAACATTAATATCTTTAAACTTCACTTTACTAATACTTCACTACTCTACATAACATTTTAGCAAACATTTATAATATATGCATTTTCAATACATTCCTTAATTAAAATCTTTGAGTATTATCGCTGTTTCTTCTTGATTGAACAAACAATTTGAATAAACGTTAAAATAGAATTTAAAACAAGTAAGCGATGTCAAAATACTTTCAGAACAAGTTTAATTTTCTTTCTCCGACATATCGGTTCCTACAAATAAACTTTTACCCAAAAACAAACCCCTAAAACAAATAATATGTATGCCATGCTACAACATAATCATATTGCTAGTGTTGGCATTTTATGCACCGCGAACAGTCTAAATGTCCCCGGGCCGGGAAATGGATATGTTTCTTCAAATGCGTTGAATGATTACGATTTACATGTATATAGATTGTTAAGGGCGAAAAACTTGGAAAGTGCTGTTGCAAAAATCATTAATTTAGTATATTCAATATGTCAAGAACAATTATTATACAAAAGAAACATTTGGTTTTGATTGCTATGTGTCAGCACATTCGTTACTTTTGAACGAATGTGCTTGAAAAAATGCATAAAGTTCAGACTGAGGACCGATGAATATCTAGTTATGTATGAATTAATTTTCCGTTATATTCTCTTTACTCCTGATCTCACAGCTATCGATGGTAGTTTCTATAAAATTCATCAGAATATTGGAGAGAAAAAAAAGTATTTCATTAATTTTGGCTTATACTAATATATTTATGACAGAGTTCTCTTTTTTATCAAAATTAATTAAAATGAAAGGGCAAATGCCGGAATATAGGAAATAAGTAATGTAGGAAGAACATAAATGGAATTTCTATACATGACAAAAAATTCAGCTGGTAATGAAGGCTGTTTCTAAGCAATTGTATATTAACAGCCTCCGGAATAAGTTTGCAAATCCGGAATTTTCGCAAACTCAACTACCCTTTTTAACATAGTTTCAATACAAAAAGTTAAATCAAACAGTAATTTGGATAAAAATAGACGATTATTGACCGATTACACAAATTAATATTATGCAAAATAACCATATTTTGATTACATCATTGATAAACAGATTTAACGATTCTTTAAAAAAGAAGACTTACAAGCAATATTCAAAGTCAATATATTGCTATGAACTGCTCTGGTTTCGTCGTCTGTCCACGCTTCACAATTCAACATCCAGTTGTTTATCGATCTATTTGGGTAAAATTGTAAGGTACTTTCGACAGCAACAAGTCCATCCTCACTTTCATTGAGTATCTGTGTTGACGAGTTAACAGTTATTTTATGTTTAACGCCTTTATTAGATTCATAGAGATACCAACTGACTCTTGGTTGTGGTCGACCAGGTGATGTCTTACACTTGATTGTTTGTCGGGATTGCTCTTTTATGAAACGAGAACTTGGTCCAGAAAGTACTACATTTGCAACAGAAACTGAAATGATTTATGTAATGAAATGATATCATAGATAATTATAAATGCTATGTTTTATCTAAATATCATTAAATACAAAAAAAACTTTTTAGAGATTACAAGTATTCGATCAAAAAGAATCGAAGCCAAGAAATTTAAAGAAACAACTTAACGTGTGGGATCACGCATTCATTTTTCTCCAGTCTATGGCATAAAACATATTAACGAGAAAAAAGATGAAAAACATAATTTTTAGGTTATACCGAGTTTAGATTTAAGTAAATATGCATGGGAAATGCACACACGCTATCAACTGCACTGAAAAGGTGAATTAAGGAAGTTAAAATTGTGAATTGCGAAGATAACTTATCGAAAACAAAACAGACACATTTTGAAGGAACACAATGGGACATTTTCATGGAATTGTCAACTGCGATGATTTAACGGGTTTCAAGAAAATCTCCAAATTATATATAATGAGAGAGTGTTAATGAAATGAATCCTCATCAAGTAATATTTCATCAATTGTCATCGTTACAGAAGAGGAAATAACTAAAACATTGACATGACCATGTCTACTTGATAATACTACCAAAATGTAATCAAATGACCATAACGGAATAAAATCATCTACAAAGGCTCGGCGAAACAAGACATAATACGAAAATAAAACACATTTGTTCCATGGGCTTGAAAAAATTAAATATAAATGTAGAACTAACCTTTAAATGGTGCCAATAATGCAAGTGTCAAATTGACCATTACAATGATGGCTGGTGTATAATTATATTTATTATTTTAACAACGTAAAAGTATATAACTTACCTTTTACCAATATTCTGACAGTATTACTTGTTCTGTCACGATCAAAACATTGCCATGATATATTCAGATCCTCTTGTTGTACACGTAATATAGTTACAGTAAAAGATGTATCAGATGGACAACCAACTCTGTAAATGTTGTAATCGGCGAAGATTCCACTACCACTACAAGTATTATCTTGATGTCTTATTGTTGTTGGTGAAACTTCGTTATTCACATTCCACTTCGTCCCTGCTACATTGTTGTAACCAATATAGGTGCAGGTTAACGTCAGTGCCTCGTTTATATCGACGTAAGGTTTGGTTGGAGTTAGAACTATGCTTTGACATGAAACACCTTTTTGAAAATTATAATTAATCAGTTAAGTTAACGTGATTTATTTATTCTATTTGTTTGATGAGAAAGTTTTAAAACGCAATCCTTAAATCCAGCTGTTTTATTTATGAAAACCATAAACATTTCATAGCTGAAGTATTCTAAAAGTGCTATTATTGTTTTAAATCACACAAATTTTTGTGACTGAAAATGAACAATATTTCGAAATGAGTATATACAGTAAGTAATAAAGCTTTTCGTGGCGGTATAATGGCTTATAAATCATAACACATTGCTGACAAGTGAAAATTTATAAGAATTCGAAAATGGATGTAACGTTTATTGTTTATTGTGAAATAAGTTTATGACATATGTCAAATGCAACTGTACTAAAAATAGATGCTAACAAAACATTATTAACTGTATAAAAAGACAATGATTGACAAATTCTTGTACTTACCATGAATGAAACACAGGGCATTGATGCTAAAATGGAATTTCCAGTTCTGCATTTCCGAAAGTTAGCAGATCACTGCATGATGAGATATTAAGTAACCTGCAAAAAATCTGTATAGTTTTAGTTTTACATTGTTAGATGGCGTCATATCACTGTTTCTGTGAGCATTCAGATTTTCAGCCTGAAGATGTGATATTCCATTCATTAATCATTTAACAATCATTAATGACAATTTCATCACCAAAGAATAGCTATCTGACAAATTATAACTATAGAAGATAAACATTGGACATGTATGGTACCATGATTCAAATAACCATTAGAAAAAATAAAGAATTTCTCATAAGTAATGCACAAACATCAGAATTGAAGTCAGCTACAAAAAATGCAGAACAAATAGCCATTGTAAACATTAATATTGACTTATCTATCCTTAACATGAGAACTAATTTAAAATTCAAGTTCAGATATCTCAAGACGAGGTCAGTGAACCCCACAACTTAAACTATTGATTTTGTCAATTCTAAATGTTATCTTTTGTACTACAATTGAGATAAATCATAGCATATAAAAAGGAACACATCTACTACATCATTGAAGACAGACATACAGAAGGACGGACGTTCAAACATTTATTAATTGTGACAATTGCAAAATGTAAAAGAAACTTGCTTTACAGTATCTGCAAGTAAACAAAACATTTGTTATGAAAAAACATGATAAATATAATATAATTACAAATGTAATGCAACTTGCTATACATGTAAACTCCCTCTCCTGCAAATTCTTCATTCGCTTCTTCATATTATATATTTATTGATTTATAAAGTTTATTTCGATCAGTTTTGCATAACATGTTAATAAAGAAAAAGTAAAACTTTGCATAGAGTGTTACATGTCTATTGTATGATTACCTATGTGCATAAACAGAAGAGGGTGAAACTTCCTCTCGAGAAATAGGAGAAGTTTGTCTGTACAGATTGGGTTTGTCCGGATAATAACTTTGAATTATTGATGAAAATTCAAAGAAACTATAAAAAGAAAGGCATTAAGAAAAAGTGCATTGCGCCTAAAACCGTTAATCTATCTTCATTTCTGTTTTTAATGGCAACTTCCTTATACGCTCAGTAAATGGGTTAAACAACTGAACATAATTTAAAGGAACTTAATATAGTAATATGTGGCTTAGAGAGAAAAGAGCCGGTTGGTTCAAACCTTTTTGAATGGGGAAACCGTTGTTTCCTTGAGCATTGCATTCATTGCTGCTAAGTACTGGTTGGTTCAAGGAACGAATTTGATAGTGTTTATTAAGTTTATAGCTTCCAACATTATTGAACTTCGTATAAATTCGTAGAAACTAAATACACCATAATTTCAATTCCATGTTATTACAGACACAGTTCGGACAGCACACAGGGAATCCGTTAAACTCGATTTTTTTTGTATATGCACCTGCCAGTATAATCCGTATTTCAGTCTCACGTATCGTCTTTGTTGTCAATAAGAGTATTTTGACATCCCTATAATTCCATTAAATTTACGTGAACGTTTAGTTGGAATGCTTAATTCTGGTCTGGCAACGAATAAGGTTTGTCGGTAGTTTTAGGCGTTCTATTCAGAACCTTTGGCATTGTTTCCAAGCAACAGGACAAACAAAAGATTTACCATGAAGATGGCCGCGCTTCAAGACGTCTGGTCAAGAGCGCTGTATTAATGAACACATTGGATGTGAATAAAATATTAAATGGGCACACGTATATACTATCGCAAGATAGGACACCAATAAAATAGCGATATTTCCTCCGACGAGTCGAGACTATTAATTCATTGACGTGGTTATCGCACACCTCTCGTCGTGACCGATGTGAATTAGGATGCCCAAGTGTATCAAGATAAGAATCTTGGGCAAGGAACGTCATTCTGAAGGTAGAAAATAATCCCAATAATTTTCTGTTTCACTAAGATAATGCCACAAGCTAAAGTGTCAAGATCACTTGTTGCATTATTTAGACTGACGGTTTAAACGTAGCCCTATTTCATCATCGAACATCATTGAACTATAACAAGCCTTAATCCTGGAGTTAAGTAACAATCCACAGACAAAAATAAATACACTTGACGATTCTGTTTGCAGAATGTGTGACGCCAGGCAGTACTCCGTGTTCAAAGTGGCCACACACGGTTTCAATATATGATTTTGGTCTATAATCCATATCACCTTTAATCAACTATTTCAATCACTACTGGTAAACCTCGTGCAGTAAAATTTTCCACAATATTCACATTGACGCAATCTTAAAATACAAGTAAAGAATATTTTAACCGGCTATCCATATTTTCGTATATTTTCACTTAAACACAGTGGAAGTTTCTTTTTGTTCAGCATATTTAAGTAAAATAGTGTATAAATGACAAATATTTTAGTTGTTTTTATGTAGGACTTGCAGATTTTAGAGTGCTGCAAACATCAATCCGTAAGTCTTGCAAAAGTTGTTTGGCTACTATTTTGTTTACTCTGTTTACTTTTTTCAAATCAAAATAGATATACATTGTATTTTTTGTTAGTCAGTTTTATTGATATCAATATTGACATGTGTATGTGTTAATGATTAAAGTGTAGTTTTTTTTAAATAACAGATAACCCAATCGGTGTGTAATCGAAACTAAATGCATAGATTTTTCAAACAATAGATACATCTATCAAAAGACAATTAATTTAGAGAATACATTTTTCGAAATATATTTAAATTCGTTTTAAAAAACACAATTATAACGAAGTTGGTAGTTATAAACGTGATACTGACAAATGGATTCAATAATATAATTGGTTCGCAAGATGATACGACCAGCATAAAATCTTTCATACATTTCAATTGATTGACATTAAATCTGCTTGAAAGTTTCGTCATGGTTTACATTTTATCGCATTTCGTTTCATTTAACATGAATGCATGTAAAATGTAGTAGATAACAAAGCAAGACGTTAGTTAACTGAAAAATCAACGTGTACAATCTGACGTGTTTTGAGTAGTTGGATATCAATAAAAATAACCTGTTCAACACATAGCTTTAATTATCTAGATTCAGAAAAGTAAGTAAATTTAGTTTTATAAATTTTGTACAGCATATCATATGTGATATATTTTTTATTTATTAAGTAAATGTTTGGACATGGCTATACATATTTGTAGATAGACATTTCTTTACTTAAATGCAAACCGCATATTAAAACGTATTATATATGAAAGGTTAAATCTAAATGCACGATTTTTTCATCAATATGAATGTAATATTTTTTGTTTTCATAAGCCTTTGTGATGTGGGCGATACGATTGTTCCTCCTAAAAAGTTGTATCTTTGGAGTGTACATTTTAGTCACAGGTAATCATTTTAGAAAACTATATCAACAGTCAGTAAAATATTCATTAATTTAAAAATTATAGAATCTAGTTTAGCGAACTAGGTGATAAGACTAGACACGGCAACAAGATAAAGACCCATAATGCTCCAGAAATGCTTTTATTTTTAGTTCAAATTTGTTCTGTAATTGTTTTCGAAAAGCTACTCATTTGCCAATTACCATCTTTGTTTCTGTTGCATTTTGGTAATTACTAAGAATATTGGGATCTAGTGTTTTGAATAGAAGGTAAAATACTACTTTGTTTACTTTTTGCTACTTTTATAACACATTATTTCTCATTCAAAGCTACTTTTGTCTGGTGATAAACATATAAAATGCTATGAAATCTTTATTTAAAGGTTATAAAATCAGGTTGGTTTTTCCAAAGATTGAAAAAACTTATTTATGTTTAAGGCATAATGTGCATTCATGTAACTACTAATCACTGAATTCTCGCGTTTATTAAGTGTTTAACTCGTTATGTAACATTATATATAGTTTTAATTATATAAACATCTTAACTTGAAAAGGTAAATAATATTGCCCACTGAAACATCTTACTTAACATCAATTTTCAAGTTTATTAGCTTCACTATTTGAAGAACAGAACTTTGGCTAAGTGTTTGAATGTCAGTTGTTATCTCTAAAACTAAAAAAAGGGAATGGACTCAAGCTTTGCACTCTTATTTGAGGTCAATATCTAAGACCAATAACTCTAACACGAATGCTGACATAATTGTGGCCCTTTTTGAGCTTATTACCCAGGCTTTTGTTTGACTATCAAAAATTGAGAATAATCAAACCTTACAGGTCTTGTTAACTTTAAACATTTTTGAAATAACAACAACAACAAAAACAGAATGTATATCTTGCTCCTTATAAGTTCAGTTACCTTTCTTAGAACGATGTCTTTAAACCATATTTGGTAACTTTAAACATGGAAACTGTAATCTCTTTCTTATACAAAGTGTTTATACTTTTTCAGAGGCAAGTGTTTTGCTGCAAACAAGTGATGGAAATACGACTTATTTTAAAGGGTCTTCAGTAGAACTTGTGTGCACAATTATTCCCTATTATAATGAGATGACTTGGTATGTGGACAATGAACCATACGCAGACTGTTTTTTAGGCACATGCGGTTATTCTCCAAACAAACCATATACATTTACATTTACCTTCAATGAAAGTGCTGGGGAATTTAAGCTCACTATAGATTCGGTGAATTCGTCTCACGCTACTCTTTCATTTGCTTGCGACGATGGAAATGTGAGAGAAACCATTTCTATCAATGTGACAATAGGTAATTTTTAAAAATACAAACCATGTGCCACGACCATAGATATATCAATATCGTTTGGCCGAAAATAAATAAAGCATTAGTTTCTGTTTATTTGAAGTGCTATTTCTAATATATGCTATTTTCCTCTATCTTACACACGATGGGGCAACTGAGGTCTAACTCCCCAAATTAAGTCATATGACCTACACAAATGTCGGTGTGATTTATAACCAAACAAATACAGAAATATAGAAATGTGTTGCTTAAGCAAAATTCATATTTTGTACATGTACTACACAACTGTCTAACCGGATTTAGATTTTACGAAACTTAAAAAAAGATGCAACAAATGTTCAATGACTGTCCTAGCATCTTTTTTATTTTCGACTTTTATTAGTTGTACTGGTAAATTTGATAATTTCCTGATTATTAATTACTTTCTTTGACAATGACAATTTGAAATTAAACTTCTTTGAAACATCAATAAAACTGCTTGCAGTATTGATATGAATGCCAAATTAAGAAGTAGATTAAAATCACACAGGACGACACGAATAATGACCAAACTACGGCATAGGTAATATTTAAGAAAACTGTCCTGTGTTTAAAATCGACGTATCTTAAACCCTTCAAAGTATTTCTTGACAATCCATACATTCATGTCTCAAGTCATGTCTTCATTTTCATTGAATTATAGGTATTTTTTAATATAAAATTCTGGTTGAATTTTGCGTAAAAATTCAATCTTAACAATAATCTAGTTATTGTTTATGGTAAGGTAAGGTACAGTCATGTCTCACTATCCACGGCCCATAACTCAAGTATGCATTTCATTGAATTTTAGGTATTTTTGAATTTTGCTTTAAAATTTCATCTTAACAATATTGTTTATGGTAAGGTAAGATAAGCTCACCTGTCAAGTCAAATAAGGGATTGTGGATATCAGTTTTTTGCAAAATTCCGCTTGTAATTCCTTGAAACTCCATATTGGCCTTTTAAGTCAGTTTTACAAATAACTACTCAATACCCATAAGTCTTGCATTGATTATTAGTGAATTGAACCAGGAACCTTCCTGGTTAAAGTTCTTCATAACTACTGAAGGTATTTACTTCAAACTCGACATCCATCTTAGGGTAGTAAATTACTTTTGTATTGAAGGTCAATAACTCTGTCTCATGTTTGAAATGTATGAAATTAGCGTTGAAAACTAAGAGTCGCTGGTTCAATTTTTGTGACAAAAGTAATCTCGGAAACTACTGAACATATTCACATCGTACTTCACACATGACCTAAACAATCGAACATATTGGTAATTTCTAAATACCCTTAACTGTATCGAAAAAAAAATGAATGGATATAAGCGTTTGTTTACTTTGAAAATGACTCGTTAATATTTTGCTTGCGAACAACTTGTTCATCTATTTTTCTTCTTAAGTTTAATGTAATACAATCCCTATAACACATCACTGTTATAGAGAGTACAAAGAAAGTGATCAGAAGAAAAGGCAATGATAGGAGATAAGAGCATCAAACGTTTGAGATAAACACAAGAAATCTAGTTTTAGTTACAATGTTGTCATACCATAAACAAACACAAAAAATGACTAAAACTACACATATACTAGAAACGATGTTCAATAATGTCCTGTTCTTTTTCTTCTTCATTGCTGAGTAATTGCAGTTCGATAATTTATCATAAGTTCACTGGAGAATTAAAAAGTAAAAGTATTAAATTTAATTATGTCTTGCCAACGAAGAAAGTATGTTTTTGGCTCACTTGAGCTGGCTCAGAGTAAGCAATTACGGCCGACTAATGACCATCGTCCGTCGCCTGTTCCGTTAAACAATAATAAAAAAAATGATTTCACTACACCTTAAATATAGCGTATCCGTTTATGGCATCTATAATATTTAACACAACGTTGATAATAATTTACCTACTCCACTAATTATGCTTTAATCAAATACTTCAAATTTAGTTTAGGTCAACTCCAATGTCATACTTTAAACAATTTAAGTAGAAAATAATCAATGAATTTCAAAGCCACATACAAATATAATTCAGATTTCTACAAGAAGATTCATAATTTGACTTTGACATCTACAGTTCTACAAAGAATAACTTTTTTATTTTTATTTTTAAAAGGGGGCCTTCCAGGCCAGTTGTATGAATTAGTCACCGCATTAGGCATGTCGGAAACAGAGCGAAGACAAACATTTACATATTTAGACTTTGTGAGCAGAAGAACTAAATGTGTATAACATTAACATTTTTCATATAAAACATAAAGCGAACATAAGCGGATACTTATTTGTATACTTAGTATATTTGGTAGTTTGTATATTTTTTCTAATATGTTAAGATATTTATGTATTCTAAACTTTATGTCAGTTAACGTTAAATAAATAGCGACTTACGTTGAAAGGTATCCTCGTCGATAAAAAAACATTAAGTGTGCATAAATTCGCAGCTCCATAACTTCCTGATTCAAATTGTGTGTAACATGTATCATATATGTAGTTCAGGGTCATTAAGCTCTATTATCTATTAAACATTAACTCTATTATCAGTATAAAATATTCGACATCATGCAATTTTTCCTTTTTTCCCACTTCAATGACCATTTACAGATGATATATTATAAATATAATTCGGGGTGCCATTACGTAAACCATTCTTCCGTTAATATGATTAATGTGTTATTTGATGGATAAACAAAGTTAAATCTTCAAAAACTTAATACTACCATGCATTGTGCGTTTTCTTAAGGTATTCACTGCCTTATTATCGGTGTTGACATATGTTCCGTAAGCACTGCATCTAGTGATATATGTCTTTTTTAAAGGATTAACCAATATAGTTTAATACAGACAAGGTCATTTTGGTCTCAATGAATTTATCAAATTAAATTTTATTAAATTTAATTAAATTATGAATTATAAAATGTAGAGGATACTTCCAGGAACAAGGATAGCTTTTTACTTGTAGGTTAAATGGTTAATGATTACAAACTTACAAAATGTGTTTGTTTGTTTGTATTTTTTTTGGGAGGGGGTGGGGGTTTACGCCACATCGACACAATATAGGTCATATCGTGACGTTCCAGCTTTACTGGTGGAGGAAGACCTCAGGTGCCCTTCCGTGCATTATTTCAGGCACGAACGGGCACCTAAGTAGAGCCACCGACGAACCGTAAGCTAGCTGGATAGCTTCATCACATGAAAGAATCCAAAGTCCCTATCGGGATTCTCGAACCCACAGCGGTGAAGGGCAAGTGGTTTGAAGTCAACGACCTTAACCACGCGGCCACGGACGCCCCACAAAATGTGTCATATACTAGTATTTTACATATTGATAGTGGACGTCATCGGAGTAATGTAACCCATATAAACATCGAAAATTATATAGATAATGTTCATTTTTAACAGAGCTGAACAGTCTTTTTATATCTTAGGCAGCTTTTATATTTACCGAACCAATTGGTAATAAGACATTGTTTTACATCCGCTATTAAAATAGTTATTATTTTACAAATACGACCTTGACAGTGCAAAAAGGAAAACAGCGTCACTTTAAACCAATACACTCAACAGTACAATGATATCGGCTAGGACCTAAAGCTACAGTCCTACAGATGAGCCAACAAGATTAATATTAGAAATTCAACATTGGGAAAAATGTGCTTAAATTTTGAATTATATGTCATTTGCAAAAACAATATTTTTGCGATGTGTATACCGTATGATAAAATGAAGTAAGGACTGTATTTCACATCTTAATCCACATTTACGTGGACTGAAAGTATCCGTAATTTGTAAATTAATTTTTTGTTCACTTGTATTTTTTTAAAATACATATTCTCTTATTTTCAAGGAAATTAACATGAGTCTAGAGACATGCTGCTTAATCAATCAAATGGGGCATAAATATGTGCGAGAACAGTTCTGTTTATAGAAAAGTTCTGCATTCGATGTTTAGTAGTATAGGAACAATGATCGTATCTTATCGTAAGTTCAATTAAATATGTGAAATACGAGAAGAAAAAGAACAGTTAACAAAATATGCAATTGCCTCAACGCCATGCGTATTGAATTAAGTTGTTAACTGTCAACCTAAAACCCACGGGGAGGAAGTGTTACACGAGGGATGGAGTTCTTATGATAACTTGTCAAGGAGTTCTTGTGATAACTGTCACGTCACGGAGTTCGTCGGAAAACTATTGTATATACTGCAAAAACACTCCTCAGAAATGGTAATTTTCATCTTTAAAAAGTGAGTTTAGGTGCTAAATTAAATTAATGATTAAGTCTGCCTTACATATTGTATGATGTGTCAAAAACTGGTTCATAGTCCATTTTTCATCGCCTCTTGCTTAAAATCTAATAGTTTCAGAGTAAAATTTCTAGATTATTTGCCAATTCGCAAGTATTGACCTGTTTATTTCAACTCTTCATCCTTGCAATACATAATTATCTAATAAAAATGCAAAAGTGCAAACATAAAGCCCCGGGTAACAAATGTATACCCGATTTTTCAAATGTCCCGGAGTTCTTTTGATAACTCAAAATATGTCCTAGAGTTCTTATGATAACTTTTGTTACTGCCAATGTGTTTCTTGTGCTAAATCAGCATACCTGGAGTTGCGGAAATTCACATATATTTTTTACCGATACAGGTGAACATCTAGTCGATAGATTGTAAAGATCTTTGTCAACAACTCCCAGCATAACTTTTTTGCATGTTTAATATCTTAGCGTAGGTTATAACGAAATACCGTATACGTGCTATGCATTAATACTCTTGTGTTCGAAGGGTGACAGAAAAGGCCGAAAATATTGCGTTTGGGGAAAAAAAACAACACACAGTCAATAAGTCATATGTACTTTTACTTTGCTTTATTTACTTTTTGATAATATATAATGATGTTTTCCGACAAGAACATTAACTTAATTAAGAAATTATGAAAAAAAGTTTCTTCGTTCTTGTTAAATTGTGTTTATTGAGAGTCCATAACAATTATCTTTTCTTTTCATAAAGGCGTCTTAACCAAGATTCCCTGGCCTGCAACAATAATTTCCTCCGCAGATGTCACTATGGTAATCATCAATGTACTCATTAGAACGGCATGTAGGTCTACACCAACCCCTGTTATTTGCGCATGGGATACTCCAGCCAGCTTGATTCTTGTTAAGGTCCAAATATAAAATATAATATTACCGGTATTTCTACTATAGATATTTTGATAACAATAGGGATGGGAAGATCCCTTTTAAGTAAATAAATGCTATTTTAGATTGAAACTTCCTTCTCAAATATATATTTGCTAAATTGCGTGAGAAAATGTTATTATGAAAATTACAAAAACAAAAGGATCGTTGACAGCCGAGAAGACAATAAGCCTTGAAACCAGTGGCAGATACAAATCAGTATACGCTACAAGATTTAAACTTCCGATAAGATTGACGTTTCGCTTTAAACATAATTGTTTACTTTCAAAATACATTACATGTTCGTAATGTGTTTAAAAATTATACTTAATTTTTTGTGTCCCTCCCTTTTGAAAAACTAACAACACGAAAAACAAAAAGCAGAAACAACAAAAACTTTTCATGAAAAATCAAATAAAATCTCCAAATTCCCAAACGCCTTGATTGGTGGATGGAGGGACGGATGTATAGAAATAGACAGACTAACAGAAAGATTTATTAAATAAAACACTAGGAATGAGTTTAATAAATGTTAAATACGTCATACTTTTTCACAAACAAAGGATACATGCTTTCCTGATATTATACCGCCTAACCAAATATATGCCGTAAGCCGCCACTAAAGCTGCAAACACGTATGGTGCCACGGCCATGCCTGCATACGCCGCGATTGGCAGTACAGCTTGACGGCGTTGCCTGGCGAGTTTAACACTTTCCTGCTCTTCTTTCGTCAATTGTTCCTTTTCAAGCTGTTGCTTAATATTTAAACACAGCGCCAGAGTTGTCATGGTTAGGGGAAAGACATAGAATATGAAAAGTAGATAGTCCTTTTGTCCATTTTTCTCTGAAAAGGAAAACTTATACAGACTACTATCTTTAATGCAAATACGTTTTTTCAAAGATTAGTTAACAATGAAAATGACCAACAACAACAAAACACACACATGCACGCATACGCACGCCTGCTAGAACACAAAAAGCAATTCTGCCAGTCTTAAAAAGTATTATTGTATATATAATAAATATGATTTTGATTAAAATATGATTTAAAGACAGCTAATATATGTGCATCTATATCATACACTGAACAACAATTAATTAAGTAACACTAAGCACTTTTATGGACATGTTCATATCAGTGTGCTCGTGCGAATCAACAATTTAAAAAAAAAGAAGAAATGATAAATTCATCTCGATATAAAATATATAAAATTTATATTGTACGGTTGTTATCAACAGTTGATGCTTTGATTTGTTATAGTAATAGGTAATTGACATTTGTAACCACCCATTACTTCCAACTCAGATTGTCAAATTTCCTAAACCATCTGTACAGAATAATCAGGATTCCCTTGCAGAGAACATTTTGTAGATTTTTTTTGTGATTTTTAAAAGTTACTGTACTACCAGCTAGCATCAAAAAGATAATTAATATAATCCTCTCATCTTTTTTTCAGCCCCACTCCCCTAGTCAAATAACTTCCTCGTCAAACATATCACATTTAACTCAAGTGACACGAATGAAAAGACAAAACATAACAAGTTTTAAGCGCCAAAAAATCTTTCATCTGTATTAAAATCTTAATACATTTATATCATAATCAAATACGTAAAAAAAGAAGAGAAAAGATAAGCATAAGCGATATCGAAATATATGTATAATGTGATGTAATTGATCTACAGAGAATGGCGCATTTGTCATATAAAAAGAGAATAAAAATATTATCCTACAATTAAAGGAAAACCCGAAAGCTAAAAGTGTACTTACAGTCTAGCCTTTTCGCCCAGAGATGTTTCAAGTCAATCCACAACTGATACTTATAAGCCTCTTGAAGATAGTGGAAAGGCCAATAAGATAGAAGGAAGTAGCTTTAAAACATTAGTTGAAAGAATAGATCACAAACCAATCGTTGAAATGCTAAAGTTATCTCAGATCTCGGAGATAAACAAAAAGATAGCTGAAAAAAAAAACAAGAAAAAAAGGGAACTAAAAAAACATACAAATAAAAACCCAGATCGAAAACATGATAAAAGTATGAGATGGTAACATGTGCAGCGGTGTACGTGTTTTGTTTGTTTTTAGTTTGGTTCTTTATATGGACATTTTACTATTGTTTATCAATACTGACCTGAAAATGATTAACTTTCGGGAGAACCCGATGGTTATTAAAAATTCAAATGTCTCGGATCAATTTTGCCAAACAATACTTCTGTAACAAGAATATTTGTATATCATTTATTTAAGGTCAAGCGGTGTTTCTCGCCAATTTTTGACGGGAGATCTGTCTGTTTAGACTACATTTTGTATATTCTGCTGACCGATATATTGTAGGAACTATTCCAACAAAATACAACAAATATAATACCATGTCGATCATACAGTTTGACAAGTATGAAAATGGAGGAATGGAGCAGTCATCTGTTACAAAATCTGTACAAGACAAGGCATATTTTCCACGAATATAAAGCTATATTTCAAACGTACGATGAAAGAAAGATGTCTAATAGAAATCGATTACATCACTGTGATAACATAGATCACTTTTCAATTTTTTTTTTCGGAATTTTTTTTTTGCAGTGATGATGGTAATAAAATATATAATGATGCTGCTGCTGCTGATGATGATAATGGTAATGACGATTATAATGATGATGATGATGTCCTTCAAATATGAATGAAAGATATTGAATTAATGCGTACAAGTTAATTACTTAAATTCACCATTATATCGTTTTTTTTTTTAAATCAAAATAAGCTATTTGAAACTTATGGTTAATCATTTAGATTACATCTTATTGTTAACGAAGTTATGACTATTGTGAAAAACTATTCTGTAGTGATTGTTTTTCTTTTTTTTTTTTTTTTTTTTTTTGAAAAACAAAAATACACATCCTCGAGATGCTACTTATATGAAAATATCGTAGTGTAAAAATGTCAATATAAAATTTATCTCACAGTATCAATAGGAAAAATGCTAGAGTTTGGTGACTACTCTCAAGGTCATTTCAAGGTCAAGACTACATGATAACGTCTTGACAACGTAGAAACGTTATCATAGTCACAACTTCGTATGATAACACTCAACCAGGGTTATATTAAGGAGATTTTATAACAGTTTTCGTTTATAAGCTTAAATACAAAAGATATGCTTGAAATATATGAACGGAAATACAATAGCCGTGAAGTAAAGCATGATAACTATATTGTCATTGCATATACAATCTATTTCATAGATTTTTAAAAAGACTTTTAGTCTTTTAAATCTTTACTGCATAGATACTGCATGGCTGAACAGTGTAGATCCAAATCAACCGGCACACCATGTCATTTGTTCAGGATCTACACTGTTCGATTTTAGAATCATTACCAAGATGCGAGCAGTGCAATTCCAGATCAAACCGGATTATGCTAGATGATCTGGATCTACTCTGGTCGAGTAAATGTAATTGTTATATACTAATTATCCATTGAATGGAGATAAAATCATATAATTTTGAACTCAGTTCCCCCATTTCCATCTGTTAAAAGATTTTGAGTTGGTTAAAAATGGCAGCTTTGGAAAAAATCGTGATGTTTATTTTTTGTCCAAAATTTGAAATAAATAAAAAGCCATGCATGCCATATTTTAACTCACTATGCCTTTTCTAGAGAAAGTTGCAGACGTCCAAACATGCTGAAAGCGGAGAGAAATTGCTGCCGTTGTATGGAGAACCGTACACGTATTTTCGAGGCTGTCGATGTTATCAGAAAAGCTGTGAAATGGCTAACATTCTAACGGGAAGTTAAGATCACTGTAATTACCAGGTAAGAGTGATAACAATTAGTGTCAGAGATTATAATAAAACGTCATACTTTTTATAACAAAAGCATTTTCATAGCACTGTCATATACCATATAACAGGCTAAGTCTTTATATTTGAATAGGCTAATGAAGTTAAAAAAAAACTCATTTTAGGATAAAGATCTTAATTTTTCGGACACCACATTGAAATAAATTTCTCAACATTACTAGTATTAGGACATATTGGGACCTAATTTAAATTTCATATCTCCCAAATAAGTTTTTAAAATCCCTTAGAGTTATAAAGGTGTAATTAGGTTTAGTTCTGCTAATAAGGAGTTCAAATTCTTATCATTTGTAACTGTGACTATCAAAATTCTAAATAAAACATTAAGACAAAGACAATTCAATACGTATCTGTGACAATTAGCTTCCTTATCAATAACAATAAGGAAAATTGCATACATTGTGTTTTTAATATCTGCCCTTTGATAAATGTACAAACATGTTGTTTAACACTGGTGTAAATAAGCATGGAGCTTAATATAAGTATGTATATCTGTAAAGAATTACACAATATTAGAAATCTTCTACCAATAGGGAAAGATCTTTTCCTACCCGTGAAGGCTTGAAAATTAATGCGCTTGTCATTTTACAATCTTTAAGTATTGATCTCCTGTTAATTTTTCGGCGTTACGGTACTTATAAAGAGAAGTAACCACATCGAGGAGTTTTTGCAAATAAGCGTATCAGGGTCTGAAATTTTGCTATCATTATTTGTTTTGTCTATCGACCCAAACAAATAAAAATCAATTACCCCACAGGGTAGGGCCATTTCATACGCCAGGGATTTTATTTGAAAAAGTTTGGTAGACACTCACTAGAAGAATTTTAATGCTAAAAGTCTAGGCTCTAGCTCTTTGTTGTTTGTTTTTAGAGTTTGAATTTAAGTTTTTACAACATACATATAAAGACATAGGGCGGGTCCAATTTTGAACCAAGGTTTTATTTGAACGAACTTGGTAGAAACCCATTAGAAGATTTTCATGCTTAATATCTAAGTTTAGCTCTTTGTGTATTTTAAAAGAAGAAGATATTTTAAGTTTTACTATATACATATAAGGAAAATAAAATACCTACCATGCTTAAGCAACTTGTGTCACATGACCACAAAAGTCAACGTACAAGGCTAAAATAGCTCGGACAATTTTAGTTTTGAAGTGATTATTTTTCAATCGAGCCGATCTATATTATGTTACAAAGTATACTGACCGTGGCTTTTCCGATGCTTTCTAAAAATGCATTTGGCGTCTAACATTTTGTTTTTTTTTTCTAAGAAAATTCAAACAATATTTACAAATTTTGATAACTTTGATAAGACATTTTTAATGACAAAAGAACGGGTTTCCTGCTGTCATTGTTTTGTATATACAAATGTATAAATGTATTAAAAAATTGTCCAACTTGCAGAAGTGTCAACAAACACGTACAGTCTAGAACGTACACACTCCCAACTTAATTTGATAGTAGTCTGAACATGAGGCTGCAACTTCGGAGTGGGAGGGTTTTTTTTTCAACAAAAAGCTGGCTTTCTATCCAGATTGTCCTTTAACACTGTTTATGAGTACTTTTTTAAACATGGGAACAGTTACGAACGCATTCATTGCATCGCAAATAAGCTTAAACAACATTGAACTTTTGAAATGTTATTTAATTAATATTTTGTGGTTTTCTTTTAGAAGAAAGATAATCCAGTTACTTAGACTGCTTGATGATTTGCTGAAACAGCCGTTTGTATATTTCATACATACTTATTAATATATATATATAGATCATATTAAAGTCATTTTTATAACCACAAAATAACAGATATATAACAAAAAAGGTTCAAGGTTGTTAAAGCTTATTTGCGATAAAATGAATGCACTCAAAACTGTTCCCATTGTAAAAACCAGTACTTGTAGACAGTGTTAGAGGGCAATCTAAATAGAAAGCCAACTTTTTGTTGGAAAAGGCCACCTTCTGTAAAATCCAGTTGTTTGCATACTGTGTGTTCGATCCGTTTGATCTCTTTGTTGATACATTTCAAGCAAAAAAACCAGGCTACAATGTACATGTCATTAAGGTCTCATCTTTCGGACCTGGATGATTTCTTATTTTCGGACTTTACTGTGGTAGTTTACGTTTAGATATAGATCTGTCAATAGTTAGTTTTGACAGAAAAATAAATATTGCATTGTTTTCCTGCAAAAATCCGACGATATTACAACCCGGTGCAAAATTTTGACACCGGGAACGGAAATACCCATAATTTTCGTACTCGGCTGTTGCATACCATGTATATAATAATATAATAAAAAGAATAATTATATTTTAATGTTTCTAATGTATTGATATAATATAACATGAATAAGAAGATTAAACATCATTATTTTGGGCCAAATAAATGCGACTAGCACCTTTGAGTATGTGTACACATTTCCTTATCGATATAAAAGTCTGATTCATGATAAAAATGATGTCTATTTCAACGGTCATCTGTATTTATAAATTGTTTATGGAAGTTCATTTAAGGTTACTCAGTACTATGTTATTGTTTTGAACTCAAACACATACACTCCAGACTCCTTGGTGCCAAAACGTGTGACCAGAAAATTGTCTGAGTGTATTATAAATGCTTTAAAATTTTCAAATTCTGTTTCTGGTTTTATATCACAACCCCCAATATATACTGACACTGTATGTGGTAGTTTGCTTATAACAGTAATGAGATCATATAACACTGAACAAGACATTTTTATATAAAACAAGTCAATACATTCAATATTGATCATTTGAGGTGACAATGTTAATGATCTTTTACCTAGATTGATATTATACAACCTTACATTTTTCATATGATGTAACAATGGCAATGTTTGTAACACTGATTCTTTGTCACTGGAAGATTCTAGATCACTACACCCAAATGTTTGTAGTTTACTAGCTGCTGGTAGTTGACTGAGATAAGATAACACAACACCGGGTTTATACAATTTACCTATATGACATTCCTCTAACAACGATACATCCATGTTTAACTGTGACACTGGTATCAGGCCCAATCCTAAACATCTTAGATGTGAATGTTGAGAAAGGTCAAGGTCGAATCCCCTACATGAAGAATTCTTGTGATCACTGCAGTATAACCTGTACAATCTAATTTCTTTCATTGATTTTTGACTAGTGAGTACATTTAACAATGTATTCATTACCTCGTGGGTCATAGTGAAACCTTGTATATGCAAATGTTCCAGGTGTTGTAATTTTACTAGTCGCCCATTTATCTCCTCAGACAGCCAGCATCGTATTCCTACAAATTTATGATTTTCCCATTTACTGGATACCAGAGTTAAACATTTTAAAGGGTTCAAACACAAGCTCATTATTTCCTCTTCAACAATTTCTCCTTTATAGTATATTTTTTCTATATGTGGAAGGTCAGAGAGTGTTAACAAATTGATCATTTCTTGTAGACTACAAATACCTTTATTTTCTATCATTATTGACTTTATGTTTTCTTTATTGTGTTGACACAGGTGTTGTAATTGTTTGAAGTAGATTTCTTGCTGACATTTTTCCTTAATGATGAAATCTTGTAAACACAATTTGAGGTCTTTGTTTTCCTGTCTTTCATTTGCACAAGAAATGTACATGTCTTGTATGTCTTGTAACGGATCAATGTACATGTAATCATAACCTGTGAATGTTCTGTATTTGCTTGTTATTTCATCATTGTTTATCACAGGCATTAGATTACTTGATATTGCCGACATTAATTTAGGGTTCAAGTTACTGATGAAGACAAACATTTTTGACATGTCTAGCATATTTTGTAAACAATTGCACTCTTCAAATAGGATTCTCTGGACTTCACTTGTATTTTGAAAACTTATAAATATAGCCGCAAAGTATTCTTGCACTGTTTTATGAGAAAATGAGATTTTAGAGCTTTCACTTATTAGAGTCTTCACTTTACTTTCTGATAATATTCCTGATAGACAGCTTGATTTCAAATCTTCTTGATTCATATATTTTTCAGCAACAATTCCATCAAACACTAATGTGTGCTCCTTTTTCTTATTGAACAATGTATAAAAAGCTAGTTTCCCAATGGTCAAAAGAAACGTGAAGTACCTACAGAAATGTTGATGTGTTCTGAAACATTCAGGGACGTACCTCTGAGACTTTTCACATGATGAATGAAACTTTCCATGCAACATTTCTGTTCTAGATAGAAGGAGCTGAATAATGCCTGTATATAATCCGACTGCTGAATTTCCTATTGGAATTTTTTCAACCCATAAACATAAAAGATAGAGTAACAGGAGAGGGGTGGATTCCATATTTTCGAGGTCATGGTCACTGATTGCTTCTTCAAATCTACACACTTCCTTTTCCAGTTCATCATCTCGAAGGTTTACATCCAACATTTTCATGGCGTTACACTTAAACTGCCAGGCATTGTCTTTATTTAGATTAACTAACTCTACTGTTTCGCCTATTTGATTCAAGTTTGACATTCCAAGCTTCCATGGCCGAGTCGTTGTTAAGATTACACACTTTTCACGTGCATATCGATGTGGAATACTTTTAGGAAGTCTTGAACAATCTTTGTCAGGATGAGTCCATTCATCTAGTCCATCTAATATTACAAGACATTTTTCATCACGTAAAATGTCCTTTAAAACACCTTTTGGCATTGAGGATGTGCAAGGCAGATTTTGTATCAGTTGTTCTTCAATCATGTCGTCAACATCACATACTTTAGCTGAATCTCTCAATAGCACTAGAAATAAGAACTCAAAGCCAGATAACGCCATCAACTCTTCTTCTTTAAAATGCTTATAATTTTCATCATTTTGATGAGCTTGACACCACGTCAAGGCGAGATATTTTGAAAATGCTGTTTTCCCAAATCCAGCGACTGCTGATAGATATATTTCCCGTGGACCTCTTCCACCCGATGTTAACAGGTCCTGTAACGAACTGACTCGACTTGTTTCCTTCCTTCCATCTGGCAGATAATTCTGTATGTCGATTTCTGGCATTATGTAGAACCCAGCTAGAGGGGTAGGGACAGCATCAGTGATAGGTGAAAGAGTAACTGTACTCTGATTGGTTTTGTACCATGCAATTAAATCATCCTTCAGTTCTGAAATATAAAAAAATCACAAGTTATTCATTAAGATAGATTCATGACGTTCATGTTCTACATTCTTAAGAACAATTAAAAAATAATGCAGAAATTAAAGGTCCATTGTGCTTGAGAAATGCTTTTATTTATGTTTCTCAAAAGCTTTTTAATTTTGGTGTACTTTATAGTATCCAAACCGTTACTTATTGGCTATTCACTAATGAACTCAATTTTTGACCTGTTGCTTTTTTGGCAATATGTACAGTTATATTGAATTTGTATTTTGTATGGAAGTCAAAATACTACATTTTTTTACATTTTGCTACTTACATTTTGCTACTTTTATGACGAATATTTCGCATTTAGCGCTAACAAGCATCAAACGTTCTTTTATCATTAGTATCTAAAACTATTATTTAAACATTATAAAATTCATGTTTGCCCTTTCCGAGCAAGTAAAAGTTATTTGTTTCTGAGGCATAATGTGCATTTAAATACAAAATCTCTTTATATGTTTTCCTCATATACTTGAAATAATTAGAACACTCAGAAGAAAATACAAAAATTGCCTGTGTTCGTTTGCTACCTTTAAGTATACAGTAGAGTGGCAGACGAACACATTTTATATTGATTTAAAAACTCATACAACATACTTTTTTGTTATGCTCCCCGAAAAAATTCGGGGGAGCATATAGTCGTCGGGTTGTCCGTCCGTCCGTCAGTCCGTCCGTACGTACGTCCCGAATTCGGTTTCCGACTAATTACTAAAAACCGCTTAGGCCTAGGAACTTCAAACTTGGTATGGTGATTGGTCATGATCAGCAAATGACCCCTTATGATTTTGGGGTCAAGGCGTGAAAGGTCACATTGACCTTGTAGGTAAAACGGTTTCCGATCAATAACTAAAGAACGCTTAGGCGTAGGAATTTCAAACTTAATATGGTGATTGGACATGACCAGCAGATGACCCCTATTGATTTTGGGGTCAAGAAGTCGAAGGTCAAGGTGACATTGACCTTATAGGTAAAAACGGTTTCCGATCAATTACTAAAGAACACTTATACCTAGAAACTTCAAACCTGGTATGGTGATTGGAAATGACAAGCAGATGATTATTGATTTTTGGGTCAATGGGTCAAAGGTCAAGGTCACATTGACCTTGTAGGTCAAAACAGTTTGCGATCAATAACGTAAGAACACTTAAGCCTAACAACTTCAAACTTGGTATGGTGATTGATCATGACCAGCAGATGGCCCTATTGATTTTTTTTTGGTAAATGGGTCAAAGGTCAAGGTCACATTGGCCGTGCAGGTAAAAACGGTTTGCGATCAATAACTAAAGAACGCTTAGGCCTAGTAGCTTCAAACTTGTTATGGTGCAACATAAATTCGTCGGGTTGTCATCCGTCCGTCAGTCCTTCCGTACGTCTGTCCCAAATTCGTGTCTGGCTTATAACTTTGTAATTTGAAGTCAAATTTTAAAACTATTTCGAAAAAATGATTACCATATCTAGACTACGTGTCCCGCGCAACATTTGGGTCGCTACCTTGAAGGTCAATATCACAGCATGACCTTGAAGTAAAATAGTGTCCAGTCCATTTCTTCATTATTTGAAGTCGGAATTTAAAACTATTTCACAGAAATGACTACCATATTGAGACGACGTGTCGCGTGCAACATTTAGGTCGTTACCTCGAAGGTCAAGGTCACAGCGTGACCTTGCAGCAAAGATCGTGTCCGGCCCATTACTTCGTTATTTGGAGTCGGTTTTTAAAACTATTTCACAGAAATTATCACCATATTGAGATGACGTGGTTCTCGCAACATTTGGGTCGCTACCTTGAAGGTCAAGGTCACAGCGTGACCTTGCAGTAAAATCGTGTTGGGCCCATAACATTTTTATTTGAAGTCGGATTTAACATCTATTTCACAGAGATTATCACCATTTTGAATTGACGTGTCGCATGCAAATTTGGGTCGCTACCTTGAAGGTCAAGGTCACAGCATGACCTTGCTGAAAAATCATGTGCGGCCACTAACTACGTTGTTTGAAGTCAGATTTTACAACAATTTCAAAGAAATGATCACCATATTGAGTCAATGTGTCGTGCACAACATTTTGGTGGTTTTTACACTTTGAACTTTGTCTGTGACATAACTCTGACACTACAAGAGTTATACCTTCCTGTGTCAAAAACCTTTTCGCGGAGCATCACCCGGTTCAACCGGCTCTTGTTAATTCTATCTGAATCTTACAAATTCATCAAAATATAAATTAGTTTTTTAGGCTACCAGCTGTTGCCAATGCTACAGTTAATATGAAAATGCACACAGAAGATTACACTGACTTAACCTTAATAAACATCAATCTAAAAATAGACTTTCATCTGATAGTAGTAAAGAAACATCTTTTGGAAAGATACACTGCCATGTTTAAAAAGATATTAAGACGTTTCATGGTCACTTCTAGGTTTCATACACATACACACTATAATATATATTATATATTGTATATACACATTTTTACACAAACGGGCGCACAATCAGTGCTTTATCAATAATGTGGCTGCAAAAAACATACGGGATTGACCAATTACGAAAAATAGAATATTTGTGGAAAAATAAATTAAGAACCTATAACATAAACCATATTGAGTAAATACTAAATAATAACGTTTAATAAATGCTGCCGAAGAAGGCCGCCAGGCCAAAAGCCACGGCAATTTTAATAATGTGTATCTTATTACATACGGCAAGTTAGAGATGATAATATTTAAGAAACTTTGAAAACCGGCACTGATTTTGCTGAATGTTAGAGATGTTTGTGCTCACGCTTTAGGGAAGGGAGGATTTAGATTTATCCTCGATCGTTTGTCCGTCCATTCACTTTTGTGTCACACGTTTCTCAAAAAGTATTTGACCTAACATCCAACAGGAATATTGACCAGTATGTGTAGCTGTGCATCTGCGTATTTTCGTGTGGATTTATTCTGTATTTTTATAGTTATTGCCTTTGACTTAGTAAAAATTTGTAATTTTCAAGTTGTCTCTGACGTAACTCAAAAAGTATTTGACCTATAGTCATGAAACTTTACGGAATGTTGATAAGCTTGTGTAGATGTACATCTACGTATTTTCATGTGTATTTTCATTGTATTTTTATGTTTATGCCCTTGACTTTTAAGGTGGTAAAAATTTGCAATTTTAAAATTGTGTCGCATGTTACTCAAAAGAGATTTGACTTAGAGTCATGAAACTTTACAGGAATGTTGATCACATGTGTAATTGTGTACCTGGGTTTTTTTCTGTGGATGTATATAGTATTTTAGAGTTTTTATGCACCTGGGACTTTGCATGTGGATTTTTTCAGTTTTGTTAGAGTGATTGCCCTTGACTTACAGTATTATAAATTTGCCATTTTCAACTTGTTCATGCATAGCTCAAAAAGTATTTGATCTGTAGGCCTGAAAGGTTTAAAGAATGTTAGTCAGCATGTGTACTTATGCACCTTTGGGTTTGCTTGTTGATTGATTCAATATTTGTAAAGTTCTTGCCCCTTACTTAGTAAAATATTTTTAGCTTTCAACTTGTGGCGCATGTAGTCCATAAAACTTTGACCTAGAGTAATAAGATTGACAGAACAGTGGAGTGTAGGGGCACCCGTGTCCTATGGACATACTTCATATTTGTCTCTCTAGGTTTGAAAATGGTTAAACACGTGTTAAAATGGATGGGGTAGTGTAACATTTTGATACATATTTCATAAATTTTGAGTAGAAACAAAATTATGCTTATGTGGATTGTTAGCTGAATGTTACTTTTAGTTTCTTATCAAACATTAATGGGAAATTTTTTTTATAAGAATGATATATTAGATCATTTAGTGTTTGCTCATTTCTGAAAAAGAGCCCATCTAATAGCCAAGTTTTAGATCAGATAAATATCCATTACTCTTAAACCATACAGTAAATTCTGTTTAAATTTTGCGTAGGGGTGTCTTTTAAGATATATAACGGTCATACGTTGCCAATTTTACAGTTCCTTTTAGTGACCATAAGGGGTATTCTACATTAAGCTTTGTTTCAGCAAAGTAGCAAAATTTGTTTTAAATACAATTATAATCAAATTCTGGTAATAACAATTTAGAAGTTAAAGCACCTACATTTAGAAATAAAAAACTGATAATACAAATCCAGTTTTGGCACACAGTATATATGCTTGTTCATATCATGTATAATCAAATGTTTTAATATTTTCATTATTATGTCAAGGATAAAAACAATAATTTACAATAGATTAAAAGGTATGTTTAACATTTTTGCATACCAAAAAGTGCTAGTAAAGTGGAAGAGTGAGGTTGATATTTTACATAAATGATTAAATCATTACTGATATAAAAGAAACAAACATTTGAACTTTAAATTCATCAAAATTTTAAGAACATGATAAAGTATTTGAAGACTTTTCTGCTTCATGTAACATATAAACTGGACCACAATTAGAACTTTGTGATAAACTATCAATGAAATGAAGTAAGCCCATGTTTATAGCATTAGAAGGCTCATTATTTTCACATTTATCATCATAGTTCCTGAAATAGTTTAAAGATTTGAGCACTTGGAGTGAGAACACTGATTAGAACGTTTAGTTATATTATAATCAAACACGTGATTTGTTTTTGAAGAAGTTGAAAGATCCGAAAACATGGAAAAAGAATACTGACTAGAACGTTGAATAGCTTTTAATTTGTTTTTGAAGTACTTAAAAGATCTGAAACCTTGAAATGAGTGTTTTTATTGGATTTCTCGCTTTTGGTCAGAAGCAAGTGGCTTCATCGTCTCTGCATTGTATTTTACTATTCCTTTGGTATTATTGACATCGTTTACACCATAAACATACAATAAGCAACAATAGAAAAAAACTAATATACTATGTGAGACATTAGTTCCAGTTCATGAAAAAGCCCGTTATGTCCAAGAAATGATTTTATTTCAGTTTCTCTAAAGCGATTTATTTTTGGTAAGTGGTGATATAGGTTTCAAAAGTAACTCGCAGTACAATTACCCGAACCATCCTTTGCTTCGTTGCATCTTGACAGTTTTAACAAAACCTTTTATTTTGTATCTTCTGTGACAGGCCAAATACTACTTTGTTAAAGTTTTCCTATTTTGATGACACATATTTTTTTCCCTTCTCAGCCCTAAAATGTGCATTTGATAAGCATCTAACTTGTTCTTAAACATGATTTAAACTTTATGAAACTCAAGTGTGCCCTATCATTGAATTAACTGGCTTATTTACGCATAGTTTAATGGTTATGTATTTTTCCTGGACAAGATATGTTTGTCCCAGCAAGACTGAACTCCGACAAAAAAAGATTTTTAAACAAGATTTAAGGTGCAAAGAACAGTCATGAAGAGTAACAACGAATTGTAACCTTTCACCTCAATAACTATCAAAATCTATAACAAGAAGGCCAGGAGGACTATATTACTCACCTGATGAATTTTTTATGCCATGTGACCTTGTTTTGCGTCATTTTCATCACCATCAACGCAAACCAAAAGATCATTTGTGCCAGGCTTGCCTATTTTTTGTTATAACAGCACATTTTGACGCACGAAATAAGTTGTAAATTTCTCCTTTTTACTCAGTCAAGGACAAAGGCTTTACAAATCCTGATTAAGTCACGTACACAACTATACATGCTGATTAACATTTCTGTAAAGATTCTTGACTCCAGGTCAAATACTTTTAGAGACTGTGACACAATATGAGAACGGACGGACGCATGGAAAGACTGACCAAGGCTAATCAAAATTTTTCCTTGTTAAAGCTGAAAAAATAAGACATGAATTCACTTACCTGACGCTTTCCCAGATCGGCTTTGAGGTCCCTGTGAAAAGAATGAAAGATAAAATTATCAAGATATTTATGATGGTTGTCGATGAGATATTTTAGCGTTATTTCTTTCAAAATGTAAAGCAATTAGTATATTGTCCTTGAAAATGAAGATGAATTATTGGTTTCATTTTGATAGGACTGTCCTATAAACAGGGCAATAAATCCACGTGATTATTTTATATAACTATAATGATGATATATCCGGCTCAAATTCTTGTCAGTTACATATTTTTCAAAAATAAATTCCCCATTCACTTCTTTAGGGACGAACATAACAAAAGATAGAGTAGACAGTTATATTTCTTGAGAAGGTCATGATCTACGCATTCTATTGCAATTTGATGAAGTTGAAAAATATTAAACGTACAACCAAAGTTGATCAAGTATGTATAAATGCAAGCCCAGTCCCCAAAATCAACCTAAACTTAGACAGAACATTTGTTTAGAATTCATTCTTTACAACAATAACATAGACCTTGATACATGTGATCCCAAGTTCCACTTAAAGCTAGAGGATAAATACCAAATATGAGAGATATAATAAATTAATAAACTTACTAGGACAAATTTAAGAGAAAAAAAAAACAACTTATCAATACAAGGTCCTATATTTTATAAAGGGAAATAACTGGCAAAAAGGATAGCACAGTTATAATACTTGTCAATAGCATGCATTGATATTTAAAAGTGTTAACTATGAAGACATTAAAACAGATAGAACTTAAGATAAATCCAACTTGCCGGTTTGGATTAACCATATCCATTTTCAAAAAAAACTAAAAAATGAAATAACTTCCAATAGTTATATAACTTGGCACGATCATGTTCATTTTTGTACTTTGTAATGAAAGTGTAAAAAGAATAAAACCATTGGTACTACTAGAACGTAATATTTATTCAACATGCCGGTTTATGTTTACCTCTTATGGACAAACGTACGGATGAACGGTTCAACTAACTTAAAAAATACTAATCGAATACTAATTAAGCCAGAAAACAACAAGAGCAATAATTAAGAATGTGAAACAAATATAAGAAAAACGGAGTTTCATATGAATGTTCAAACTGATATTTCAAACCAGGCTCCAAACAAGTATTTATCATAAAAAATAACAAAGAGTAATAATTAAATAATATAAACGGAGAGTTATAACACTTGAGCAATGCAACCTTTGAAATACAGATCTTAAATACATCTCGTATTATACTCTGGATAAAAATAAGCATGATTTAGGGAAATAACTAAACAATACTTTGGATAGTGTTATCATTCTTGTGCATAGCATATCTTATAATTAAGATGCATATATCTAAAAAAAATCAAACTCATTTTCTAATACACTGTTCTTTGTTCTTTTTTGAGTTATAGTCCGGGAGAAATAAAGAATAAACATTAACGAAGGGCAATTACTCAAAATTATGATGGGTACAGTTATCATATGTATTGTTTGCGCTCTTTCTTAAACATGTCTATATAGCTTTAAAGATTCAACACATTAATGTCGGCTCTGGACATAGTATTGCATAAAAAGAGACAACATAAGCATTGTAGACAAAAAGAAATACAGAAAGGTACATATATTATTCTTGCCAACGGAACTCAACCTAAATAAGATATATTATATTTCAAGTTCATACCTCAAATTTAACTTATGTAAAGCAAATTAAATATACATTTAAATTATAGGAGTATTCCTTTCTATATTTTAAAAAGGGTTGGTTACTCCTAATTCCAGGTAGACAAACACAAATATTTTTTGAATGTTGGGATACATTTGAGCTTGCCAGAGCACAAAAAACTAAGAGGGAAACTTTTGTAATGGTAGTGTTTGTTGTTCGTTCTCCGTCGTTATTATAAGTTTTCTCCTCAACCACAATAAGGATGTTGACATAAACATATTAATTGATCCTAAAATAACCCTTTTACATAAAATATAACTGTTTTCAGTCTGATAAATAAGAAGGTCGCAAAATCTAAAAGTAGTCTATATCTATGAAATCTTTAAAATATTGTTCTTAAAGTAAAATTACAATGGTTCAAAAGCTTATATACTCATCAAAATATTGACTCAAAATGGGCATATTTCAATTTCTTATAGGCTTCATAACCTCTGATCCCCTTCCAAAATTCCGTTTTGTTTAGTTTGTTTTCCCGTTTAGGGCACATGCTTTTTATTACTTTGGGACCATACACCGCTATTCATGGAATGACACTACTGTGTTACATTGAAAGTTCTACGATAACTTTCGTATGAACACATCTGCTGATGTTGATGAATTCAAAACTTGACCATTTCATGTGTAAATGTTGAATTCTGCTGAAGCCGGTGCAAGATGGCGAGGACAGTAGTATGCACTTGACAGTACCGTCCATGAACAGGCTCAATCAAACCGAGCCTGCAACATTTTCAATTCTGACATAGGAATTCTTATTTTTCTCTATTTTATTACATACAGTTCTAAGACTGAAAAACAGTTAGCACAAAAATTTGGTAAAGATACACTTACTAAACTTGACAAAGACATTAGGGTTACTTTTTCATGAAAGTAAAGTTACAGTACTTTAATGGTCATTGCGTAGTTCAGACGCTTCTAGAATTTTAGCTTATAAAGACAGTTATAAGTCAACTTTTCCTGCAAGCGGCTCTGTAGAAGATTTGTTAATAAGAACAATTAATACCATTGTTGAAAAAATATGGTAGTAAAGCAGCCTCAAAGTCTCAATCTTTAAATTTCACAACCTCTCGAAGTACTTGATAAGAAAGCATTTCAAGGTCAATGTGCAGCACGTATTATTATAAATTAATGCATACTACAAGCGTAAGGAAATTCATTGACGTTTACACATAATTCTCTAAATGTAGAATAAATCATACAGTGTGTTAGAAATATCTTTGCAATGTCTTAAAAGTCATGGGATCAAATTTCTCGTTGTGGTGCTTTTCCCCATTAAGAAAGAAGATAAGCAGCGTTAGCTGACACAGGCTTACATGATTTTTAGGACATTAAGAAGAGAGTGAGAATTTGTAGAAATACCAAAGTTCAATGGGGTTTTGGAAACAAGAGCCACCACCTCAATCCCCCACCCTCCCTGCCCCCCCAAAATAATTAGATATTAAATTTCTAGAGGTAGATATATTATTAAAAAGAACATGCTATAGAAGTAATACCTCTAGACCAGGTTAAACAATGTTTTTCCAGTACGCTTTAAAAACTGGAGATATAAGGCCATTTATAAATTTAAGGCCCTAAACAAGTATCTGAAACGCGATTATTTCAAAATGAAGTCTTAAAAGTCTGTTCTCAATTTTGTTCACAAACGCGATTACACAATTTTACATTTTAGCAATGCATACATGCACAACCCTATCTACCTGAATTGTCTGTCTGTTTGGTCTGGTCTGGTCTGTCTGTCTGTCTGCTGGTCTGTCTGTCTGTCTATCTATCTGTCTATCTATCTAATAGATCTACCTACCTACCTACACACCCACCTACCCACCTACCCAAACCCACCTACCCACCTACCCACCTACCTACCTACCTACCTACCTTTTACCTCGGCTTTTCAAGGTTTTTTAGGTAATTTCAAGTTCAGATGATACAAAAAAGGTTCCCCAAACAGATGCTTCAATACATTGCCTGGATATGAAAGCAGTGTTTCTTGCTTTGAAAAAAATCAGTCATCTGTAACGAGGTCAAAATGTCTTGATACGGTCAGACAATACAACCATAGTACAATATATAAACAAACACGGGGAACAAAATACCCTTACCTTTGTCTCCAAACTCGGAGTTTGTGGAAATTTGCTCTTCAAAATCAAATGAACTTGAAAGTAGCCCATATTGCAGGCAAACAAAATATTAGTAAGAAGATGAGAACAAAGCAATTGATTTTTAATCAGTATTTGTTCACAGATGAAACATCGTAAAATTATTGGTACACAGATGTAATATTGTAAAACATAGGTCAAGCTACAATTTGGCTTTATACCACTTTTAATAGTCATTTGATGGTTGTGGGTATGAATCTTTGCAAATTTATAGCCAATATATTGATATAACAATGTCATGATCGATACATTTAGACCTTTCAAAGAGTGTTGAATACTATAAAAGATACGTAACGAAATTGAGCCCCTATAGAAATACTCACATGAATATAGTAAATAAAGAACGATATAGATGAATTAATCGGAGATATTGAAACAGAAGTCTCAATTATTGTTGGAGGTCCTGTAATTCATTTTATGCACAATTACAATAGTCTTTTTTTATAATCGTTGACTTGAAAATAATTGCCCCTAGTAATAGTCGAATTCCACTTGAGACTGTGGATTACTTGACAGCTTTCCGAACGTTGATGTTCTTACAAAAGAAGCCCGCTCGTGCCTGAAAACGGAATGGCACATGAATTCTTCCTCCACCATACAAGCTGAAAAGTCACTATATTTCCTCTACTTATCTTGCGACATGAAACCAAACCAAAGCAAAGCAAACAAATTAACAAAAACAAACAATTAACATAGTATTGCAAGCAATCCATAAGTCCCCTACCGGTAAGAGCCCAAGCAACATTCTGAAGGCCCATTGGCCATTCACTTATGTTTCTATTTTAAGTGATCACAGCGAACAGTTTTTATGTACAGACAGACTGAAGGACACTCTAAAGTTATTTTTTAAACATCCCTGTTATCGAAATATAACATTTTTAAAGCAAAATTTAAAAAAAAGGAGATAACAATGTCATACATGATGTGAGTGTAACAAAGAACAATTAGTAATGAAGGTATGAATATTGAATGTTTATTTTGAATTTGAAGTAAATGAAAGTTAAAAGAACGAATAGGAAAAATAAAATGTTTAAGGAGGAGATAATTCTGGAAATATGGATGCTAGATTTATAAACCTTGTCATATTATTGTCATATTATTATGATGTGGGAGTTAAAAGAAAATCCTATCATAATTGAAGAAAATTACCAATTTCTCAAAAAAAAGTCAAGTTCAAAAGGGGCATAATTCTGGAAATAGACTTGCTAGAGTATTGAACACTCACAAATGTTGAGTGATAATAAGAAACATTTATATGAAGTTTGAAGTAGATATGTTCAGAAAAAAAGAAGTTATTAAAAAAAAAACAATGTTTTTTTTTTCATGAAAATTTTAAGTTCCAGGGAGGTAATTCTGATAAATTTTGTGCTAGAGTTGTAAACTTTTTCACATATGATGTGGTTGATGACTAGCAACTTATATTTAAAGTTTGAAGAAAATACCTTAAGAAATAAAGAACTTATAGTGAAAAAACTGAAAAACTATAATCAGAAATCTTGAAATTCAGTCTATTTGTTGCCATGGCAACCAGAATTTTCAATACAGGAAGATAAGAAAAGAATGTGCATAATTTCCATACTGCCATCTACCAATATGTCAAGTTTCATAAAAATATTTTCAGTCATTTTTGCGTTATCACTGGATCCAGGTTATGTGTAAAATTTGCCATATTTTCAGTCTATTTGTTGCCATAGCAACCAGAATTTTCAGCATAGGAAAAAAAGAAAATGACGTGCATAATCTCCATACTGCCATCTATCCATATATCAAGTTTCATAAAAATATTTTCAGTACTTTTTGCGGTATCGCAGGATCCAGGTTATGTGTAAAATTTGCCACATTTTCAGTCTATTTGTTGCCATAGCAACCAGAATTTTCAACATAGGAAGAAAAGAAAAAGACGTGCATAATCTCCATACTGCCATCTATCCATATATCAAGTTTCATTAAGATATTTTCAGTACTTTTTGCGGTATCGCGGGATCCAGATAATGTGTAAAATTTGCCACATTTTCAGTCTATTTGTTGCCATAGCAACCAGAATTTTCAACATAGGAAGAAAAGAAAAAGACGTGCATAATCTCCATACTGCCATCTATCCATATATCAAGTTTCATTAAAATATTTTCAGTACTTTTTGCATTATCGCGGGATCCAGTTTTGTGGACGGACGGACTGACGGACGGACAGACGGACAGACGGACGGAGGGTAAACCTAAAGTCCCCTTATAATATAATATAATAAATTATAAGAGTAACTTTGAAGCTATTGCTACACATATGGACAATGTACTTGATTGAGTTAGTAATTAAAGTTAATATGAAGTGTTGAAAACGAACCTTTAAGAGTGACTTTGGACTTGAAGAGCTGAACACACTCCTGAGCTTCATAAGACCTTTGTGTAAAAATGATTTTCTTAGAACATCATGTCCGCTCATATCAGATGAAGCAGCACTAGGCGCCATTGAAATATCTGCTTTTGCTTCTATACCAGCCTTGGTGATTGCAGATAAAACGTCGTCTTTTGCTTTACTAATATCAGAGATAGCTCCTCTTTTTTGTCCATCAATATCGCCTTTTGCCTCGGATATGTCTTGTAATACCTGATTCCCGGCTGTGTTTATTTTAGATAAACCATCATTAGTCTTCAAAGCAATGTCCTGTATTCCCTGTTTCCCGGCTGTGGTAATCTCTGCCATAAGTGATTGCTTTACCGATGTCCCAGCGTTTTCAACCTCAACTAAAGCGGCATTTTTAAATTTATCAACATCTAGTTTTAATGTATTTCGTACAGCTAACGCTTTCTCATCAAGTTTACGCAATGATTCTGCTGTTCTTTCGTCAAGTTCGGTTAACGCCTTATTTCTGTTCTCAAGAAGTGACACTGTGTCTCCTTGGCTTATATGTATTGTGTTGTTTCTTAACTGCAATACAAAAGGCATATATAAGTGTTATATTCTTATCAACTACATGTTGTTGCTAATAAAACTTTGCGTTTATATGGCTAATTTTACAGTTTTATAGAACTATCACAGTATACACACCATGGTCCGCTTAAACTATCGCTTCAGCGACGAAAATATAATCATCATCACATTCACGGGGGCTATGTATAATTTACAAGTAAGAGTAAGTGGCCCTTTCCTCAGGCTTATTTACTCAAAATTATGTAGACGCTTATTCACCCAGAAAAATTAGATATATCTAATGTCTGCATGTGTATAGTCTGAGTCATTATGTTAACAAAGTGTCTACATTTGACTGAAGAATTTTATGTCAGGAAGCTCAACAGGGGTCCAGGTTCCAATTAACAAGGAATTAGTGATTTACATTTATCTTAAGCCATTTTTGCTAATATTCTACTCTCAATGTACCTTTTTCGATCGAAAAAAATTCAGGCCAGGGTGTCTTGGGGGCAACAGCTCCTAAAGCCCCAAGGTGGATCCTTACCTGTTATTATCACACACGTATGTTCAATATAGAAAAAAACATATAAATGGTCAAATCAATTTTATTTCTATATTAAAATCTTCAGTTTGAGGCATATCTTAGTCTAATAGCTAAACAAAGCCTGAATATCTCAATTAACAACTTCTACAGATCGTATTTGTCTAGAAGATAGATCGAAGACCAGTAAAATTCATGATGCCGAAAAAAGACTTGTGTCGTTGCTTTTCTTTTCACTAATAATGCTTTTTTTAAAATGTTATTCAACGGTTTAAAATGATACATTTTTAAATCAAAGAAATAAACAATACTCGATTTCAATGTATGGATCGAATTTTGATAGTAAATAGTTCATACATTCACTAAATAAGTATGCCGCCCGTGAACAACTGTCTTTGAAATCCATTCTCATATACTACGACTGTTTCGTTGTACTCCCGGATACATTGATCTTCTACAATAAATGTTATGTCGCCAACCTCAGAAAATATTGCATATTGAATACATTTAATTCATTATAATTCTGCACGTTTGTAACGTAACTTTTCATTGGATAATCTTGATGTTGAAATGGTTTTATATACACGGCTGATGTAGATTCATGAAGAAATCTTACTTTTTCTCTAAAAGATGAATGCTTGCTGTATTATAAATTCGTTATAAAGATTGTTGACAAACTATATGGCCGTATTTAAACGGCTGTTTGCAATATAACCCTCACCTTGCAGCTCGGGTTATACTAACAAATAGCCGTTTATATAGGGCCATATAACCTGTCAACAATCTTAATAACTGATAATATATCAGGTAGTAAAGCGGGATATCTCAGTCGCACAATTTACCATAGTAAATACTTCTACACAGTACACACAGGTTTTAAGTTGATTTGACATATGCGAAATCATATAATGTACGCCTTTTTTGCAAAAGAAGGAAATTAAATAATATATCGAATATCTAAATACACTTCAATGAAAAGAACCTGCAGTTTAAAAACTTGGTATGATCAACTAGGTCAAAAATTACTATACTACAATCTCATTGATAATAATAGTGCTTCTTCGCAGAGGAATACTTATTTTGAATATTATTTCAGTCACCACAAAATATATTTAAGCACATATTTTCTACATAAAGAGATATTTCCTTATTTTCCTACTGGTATTCTTGCTTTATATTAAAAATAATAGTACGAATTTTGTATTATTTGAACGCAAATCAGGAAATAATAAGCAGACATTTAATATCTAGAAGATCGCTTCCCGACAAACCAAACAACACAAAGTAGTTCTCAAAACAGCTTAATACTAGTATAGTAATAATTTGTGATTTTTACGGCTTTGATTTATGAAAACCCGTGTTTGGTTCTACTTGGGTCTGGATGAATTAGGACAAGGCAGTGGAATTTTACGATGTTTTCACGTTTAAATGATATTCATTTGTTTATTTTATTTATTTTGACATTATGTGTGTGCTTTATATGATAAAATTTTGAACTATTTATTAAGATGTTATTCGGTTCGAGCGAATTTGTCGAAATCCCGTATATAGTTGACATAGCTCCGAACGCGCCTGAGAGTCCGTCCGTCGCAAAGAGCACCATATAAAAGGGGCAATATTCTGTGCGTGATCAGACTTACCTGCCCCAGATGGTCAACAAATACTTCCATATTAAATTGAAAAAAAATTTGTTTGAGAAAAAGGCAAAGTCCAACGAGGGAAGCAATAAATAAATAAATAAGGCTCTCAAGGTTATCCCCCGCCCTACCAACGCATTTCAAATCTGATGAACAAGTACAGTATGGTGAACGTTTCTGTTTACATGCAAAATGGGCGCTGTGGAAAAAAACATATGCACTTTAGAGAAAACAGGATTTTGTTTTCTATTTAAAGCTCTGGTGGCAATTTTGTGCAGCAAAACAGAACGTGCCGGCCATATGCATCATAAGGTATGATACTGATCACTTTTTTGAAGTAATGTCGAAATCCCGCTTGAAATTTGTCCTGTCAAATCCTGAAAAGATGTTTCAATTTATATATCTGGTAGTCCTTTTAATGCAGCGAAGCAGAACGTGCCGGCGATATGCAAAATAGGGATTGGCACTGATCACACCTATGCAGTTTGTTTTAAACCCCAAAAGCAGTTTAACCTTAGAAAGCCGGGCAAAAATTTTCCATTTTAAGGGGATTGTGACGGCAATGCGCAAAAATGTATGATCACATTATAAGGTGGTGTCAAAATCCCGATAGAACTTTGACCTGTGAAAGCCGGACAAGCTCTGGCTGTCATTTGGTTAAAAGAAGCCGTACGTACGGCTGGTACTGACCGCTCCTGTATCGTTTCACGGACACGATATTTCTATTTTTAGCTATGTAGGCCATTTTGTTGAGCGAAGCACAACTTCCCGGCGAAATGCAAAACAAGGTATGGTTCTGACCTCTTCTGTGAAGTTCCATTGAAATTTCATCTGCAGTTTGACCTCTGAAAGCCGGGCAATATTTTTCTATTTATAGCTCTCGCAGCAATTTTGTGCACCAAAGAGGTACATGTAGGCGATATGCACATCTAGGGATAGAATTGATAATTTCTATGCAGTATACATGTAGTTTGAAATCCCACAACAATATGATCTTTAAAAGCCGAACAATATTTTTCTATATTAAGCTTTGGTGGCCATATTGTACACCAAAAAGGAACGTGCCGTCGTCGAGGTGCAAAAAAGATGGTACTGATCACTCCTGTTAATTTTGGTTGTAATCCCACTAACAATTCGAACTATGATCGAAAGACATTTTTTTCCTTTTTTAAGCTCTGATAGCCATTTTGTGCAGCGAAGCAGAAATTGCCGGCGTTGTGCACAACCAGTGAGTACTGATTACTCATGTGCAGTTTGGTTGAAATCCCAACTGCAGTTTGACCTGTGAAAGTAGGTCACGATTTTTCTATTTTAAGCTTTGGCGGCCAATTTGTGCAGCGAAGCGGAACGTGCCGCCGATTTGCACATCAAAGCTTGCACAGATCACTCCTGTGAAGATTGCTTGAAATCACACAGGAACTATGACCTGTGAAACCTCATGTTTGTTTCTATCTTTAGGTATGGAGAAACTTTTCTGCAGTGGACTGTTACGTGCAGACGATATGCACATCTAATGATATTACTTTTCACTCCTGTGAAGTTTCATTGAAATCACGTTAGCAGTTTGAATTGATTAAGCCGGACAATATGTTTCTATTTCAGCTCTTGTGGCAATTCTGTTAAGCGAAGAACTGGACATATGACGAAGGCAAAAAAAAAATATGTCTCCAAAACATTTTGAAAGAAATAATTATCAGAAATATTCCTGCATTTATATCAGATGCTAAAATATTCAATTCATTTTGCAACCACTTCTTTATGCTTAATCAGAGTAGATTACGGTTTAATTCGTCCTTTTAGGTTTCGGTTTTATCTTTTTTAAGTGAAAATAACTTCAAAATAGCTTGTTCCTTTCCATACAGACTATTCTAGCTGTTTATAAACAGAATAATTCTTTGCACTGCGCTTTACAGTTTATAGGATAACTATCTTATTATCTATTCTTATTTAAAGATATAACAGAATAATCTCAAAAGTTTAGAGTATGTATAGAATAAGTTTTTATGATTTATATTTATACTTAAAAATCTGGAAACAAAGACTGGATTTCTCAAGTTATTTTAGCACACATTAGATATTATCATATTCGGTAAGCAAATTTTACTTATCTCACTATTTTGCCTTTAACACATTACACAATGAAAAAAAAATGAATTTCTTCAGTGTAAGCAATACTTTTTCCCTAACAACAGAAAGCTTAATTTTTCCCTTGAACTTTATTCTGAACAATTTCGATATGGCTCTTAAGGAAGTTTATTAATCAATCAAGAGGAAAAATCAATTTATCAATTTATCAATATATTTGGCACATCAATTTGTCAGTCAAATATACCCCAGTATAAGTCATTTATATTATTCTTCATATTCAATTCTAATTCAACTTCTATATTCCATTATATCGATTTAACATATAAACTGCTGGCTGCTACTTAGTCCCTAAAATAGAGAAAATAAGAATCCCTAAAGAAAGCCCAACACGTAATAATTGAAAATGTTGCATGCTCGGTTTGATTAAACCTGTTCACGGACGGTACTGTTATTTTATTTTCTATTTCAGCAACATTAACATTAGCTCATAATTGTTCTGCGTAGTTATTTTCTATTGTCTTGTCCCTTGAGCAATATATGTGTAGCAAAATGTTAAATCATCGATTTTGAGACGAATTTGCACGCACAACCAAGTACCTACCGAGTATAAGAGAAAGTGAAAATTGATTTCTTTAACTTTTTGTTATTAACATAAAATTTCCTTTAGCCCTTGTATTTCAGTCATAAATTTAAATGAAACATACCAAAATAACTCAAAAACTCAAATTAGAGAATTGCTTAAAAGTTCTTGGCCCGATGTACTTTCGGTAGTCAGAGAACCCAACAAATGGTCTTAATTTTTAATATAATCGTCCTCTTTATCAATGCCCACCTCTGCTTCCTTCAAAATAGAACTCTCTACTTAGGTCCTAAAATAACTTATTGACCGCCTCCATGACACCTTCGTTGCTTCCAAAACGTCTACTACGAAGCTTGGTTTTTAGTTTGGAAACAGGTAGCAGTCATAGGGGGGCAAGTCGGAGAATATTGGGATGGGGAAGAATTTCAAAGCCGCAATCAGTCGCAGCAGCCATCACAACTTGGGATGTGTGAGCTGGCGCATTGTCATGCAGGAGCAGAACGCATTGAGTCAGTTTGCCACTCCCTTTTCGCGCAATTTCTTGACGCAACCGTCTCAGTTCGTCTGCATAGTACGAACCGTTTATGGTACGACCTTGCTCAAGATAGTCAATCATGATTATCCCCTGATTATCCCCAAACAATTCAAGCCATAATCTTTCCTACTGATGACACTCTCTTGAATTTCGTCGAAGGGGGTGAGCCAGGTTGCTTCTACTGTATGCTCTGTTGTTTTTGTTTTGATTCTGGATCGAAGTGATTGACCATTTTTCATCATGAGTTACGATCCGGTAGATAAAATCAGTTCATCTTCGTAGCAAGACAAAATATATCTTGAAATGTCAAGCATTGTCCGTTTCTGGTCGTCAGTCCACTCTCTGGGGAAGCATCTAGCGGAAACCTTTGACATGCCAGATACATCAGTCAGAATTGCCTGAACTGAAGCAATGCTTATACCGACTTCCCTTGCAATGCTCCGTAGGTCTCACCTTCTGTCGCACATGACCAGATCGTACACAGATTCGTCAATTTCATCGTTTGTGGCCTCTTTAGGCCGCTTAGGCCCCTCAACATATCTATTGCTCCCTCTGTCCCTCTTTAATTCAGCAGCCCAATTTTTCACAGTATTCATAGATTTCCTTGGGGAACATTCCTTTCTTACAGAGGTACTTTGTGACGGCACTGATTTCGACTTTCTCCATTTGGTCTTATTGACAAACCCCTGTACTGATCAAAGTGTGTTTTATGTTACTTAAATTGTGTAAAACCGCGTGCAACTCGGTCAGTATTCTTCATTGAGAATGTAAGTGTAGTGGCTAGAAGTATATCAGGCCAAGAACTTTTTGATCATACCTCGTACAACGGGTGTCATCCCTTCAGAAGTTCAACGATCACTTGAAATCAGAACAGATATTCACTTATTACATTAATAAATCTAATTTGTGTAATATAATAATAGTATGTACCTGTATTAGTTTATGAACCGCTTTCTTTGATGCCTCGTCGTTAATCAAACACTTTGGATCTTGAAGAACTACAATGAACGCATCCAAATAAGAGCACACAGTTGTTTCGTCGATTTCAAGCTTTGAGCTATGCAAGATTTTATTACGGATATCTCTCGCCTGAAAGAAGTTTTATAAATTTTTAGAAGGGGAATTACATAATTACCATCATTATTTCGTATTTTTGATAAACATGTATCAACATTAAGAACATTATTTTTTCTACTTGTGGTAAAAGAATGAGTGCTTTAATGTTTTTATACTTCTAATGTTATACTGAAAAACTGAATAACGTATGCTGTTCGAATTAATATTTAAATGTTAACATTAATTTTCAGAAAATACAACTAACTGATTTTGTGACTACGGTTAAATCTGTTAAATAAAATGGCTATATGATTATTTGAAACAATTAGTTTATTAAATAATTAAATAATTTTTTGATGATATAATTATTGACTGTTTTCTGTACTTACCAAATGAAACGGACTAGTGTTGTTATGAGGGTTAATACTGGTCACAAAGTTTTGCATTGCCTTGTTGTTTATGATAATGCTAAGCAGGCCAGCAGCATCTGTATCTTTAGCTGATATCCCTGGACCTTTAGTTGTTTGGAAACATTTTGCATAACTCCACCCATTAGGGTCCGAACACCACGTACTTGGGTCAGTGTTCTTCCATAAGGGATCTTCAAATGCATGCTCGTCTAAAATTGAGTCGTAGAATTTACTACAAATGCCATCAGGGCATTTCCTACGTCCGACTGGTCTGCTTCCAAAACAGTTGGTTGGGTTCTTTTGGTGACATGTGCGTCTACTACATGCCTTTGAAGTGTTTAAATGATCTGGAGAAAGATTATGTGACGTACACTGGTTGCACTGTTGTGGTGATCGAGATGACAATGTCAATATAATCTTTTGAAGAGTATTATCACGACATTGCAGTACCTTTTCTCCAACAAATTCTTGAAGACCTTCCTGTAAGTATTCTAGTCCTTTTGAGCCTCGCACCCAATTCGCAAACATATCTGAATCCAGTTCTTCACTTTCCATTATAGCATTCTCGAAACAGGTCAGTCTGAATGAAAATATATTTATAAATGTGATTTTATAATGTTTCTTAATGTTAAAAGATCGGCATTTTAATCATGCTAGCGTATTCAAACAGAAACTCAAATAAACAAAACCTCATATTTTTAATCATTTTTTTCTATGTTGGTTATCCGGTTTAGAGGTAAACAGGGGAGTGTTGGCTGTGAGATAGGTCTTTATCACAGGACAACCAAGCGCATCATAGTATAAAATAGCAAAACGTAGCATAGCATTACTTAGCATATCATTACACAACATAACAACACATTTTGCAGGAGGTCATTTATTGATAATTGAAGATGGTATCTGTTGGGTCAATGTTTTAATGTAGATACCAATTATCTCACAGTTGACGAAATATGTATACTTTATGCAGCGTAAAATTGTATACATACAATTTATAGTTATACAGTTCAAATATAATGTTGTATAAATTGTTAAAAAGTAGCATATTTGACAGTAAGTTAGCTGAGAAATTTTGCTGACTAGTATATTTGGTACACAAGGTAATTGACCTTTTCAAGCAGAATTTATTTGTAACAATTTAACAAAAGTATGAAAAAGCTGACAAAAATGACATGATAAAAACTAAACATATATATCATTCACAGAAAATATCTGTAAACATTATTTAACAATGGTGAATATCATTACATGTATTACTAAGTTGACATTACTGTTTCACGTACTATGCATATTATTGGTGAGGTTGTCTCCCTTTAAGTAATATATGTGTGCATATACATGTTTAGTCTATGACTAGGCATTTTCTTTATAAGCATATGGCAGGTAAATTGCCAAGTTATTAGATAGTTTGATATTTTGGTTGATAAGTGCTTCTAACTTCAGCAGTGTCGACAATAAAAAAACTTCATTATTTTTTATTTACTATTAACATTATGAGCTCAGTTATAATTATTATTATTGTAATTTCAACTTTTTTATAGGACCTGATAATCCCTATTAAGTGTACCGCCAAATGTTTATTTCAATTTTTTCACCATCGCTATTAATATAATAATGAGCCAATGAGTGTTGTCAAATGATGTAATCGTAGAAACGTGTTGATGCCATTTTTTAATCATACGACAAGCTTTTCCAATTAGAGCTGTGCAGTTTTTTAACAGTACGAGTACGCGCATCAGTTGTATGCAAGCAAAAAAATCCATTTTGTAATAAAAATTGTTACCGCTTGATGACCGTTTTCCGCAGTTTAAAATGACTCATTTTTACAGCGTAAAGATTAAGTAAAACTGCTCTGATAGACTTGTTCTGGTAAGTTTCCTGAACTACTTACAGCGTAAAGATTAAGTAAAAACTTGCTCTGTTAACCTTGAACTCCTTACAAATCACTTGCTGAATCGTATATTAAGTACTCGGCAAGAAAATTTCAAGAAAGATAGATGAGTTGAAAAATCTAATTTCATCTACTTAAACACCACTTGACATATTGTCTTGCAACAGACAACAGTTTAAGGTCTAACTTACTATTAATACTTCAATAACAATTAAATTTACCATTTTGATTGTTGTTTTATTTCAATGTCGAGACGTTTTCAAAGTATTTCTCATTGTAACACGTCGTGGCTGATGCCGGCTCGTCACGGCGAACCGTTATAACGTAAGGATTCTACTGAGGAAACAAAAGAAAACCACCTAGATTTCAAATCCATCCAATTTTAACCGAAGCTTGGCGTCCAACTTTTGATATGATTCACCAGTATTAGGACTCGACTCTTACATAGCGGTTAAAGTCCTTTAATATTAGGGTCATTTTAAAAATTAAGCAAGGTTTGCATTTGGCCAATTTTGCTTAAAACTCTTGCAGAAGTCGACAGATATTATAATTGGGTTCAGACAACTTATTTTTTTACAGAGTTATGACCTTTTTAAAACAGATTTTAAAAGAAAAAATGTTTTCAAATGATAACTCACGAAGTAGTCATAGATTGTTAATATTTTTGATACACATAATATATTAGGTAATATCATAAAATACTACAAACTCCGACGCAGTGGTCTCCCTTCGCCTCGTTTCACAAAGCGTTTGCTAATCAAATCACTCTGTTAATGTGGCCATACCACGTGATTTTTTTGGGTACGAAACACGCAGATATTGCACCGATACAGGTACAGCTCGAATTAGCTATTCCTTTTATCTGTTTCCATTAAAATTGACAAATAGGGGTGTCGATAATTCTTATATAAAAGCATACTATTTATCGCTTAAATCTTTTACCACCTTATCAATCAGCGTTTGGTATAATAGTGTAGTGCTAGAGTCAGAGAAATACAAAACATCTACATCTCTGGTATAGTATTTACTCTTTGAGTGTGCAGACCCTGGTTCCAATCAAGGAAAAGGCATGTTATCTTTTATCTCTTTTTTTTTTTTTACAAAAAAATGCAGTTAAGTTCCACGTGAATTTGATTCACATAATGCTGTTTGATAATAATTACTTATACACACATTACCATTCAACAGGTTAAGTGTAAGAAAACACAGTCGTGATTAGAGTGATAATCGAGCAATGAAAGAAATATATATATAGTTAATAAATATGAGCCAAAATTGTTAAAAATGTGGCGAATAAAATTCAGAGTTTTCAACAGAATAAAATTGATTATATTATTCATTCTGTTCAATGACAGTTAAAAATTAAATGCATTCAAACCACCATAAGTTTAACATTGTATTGTGCAAAACATTATAAAAAAGAAATTGAAAAGTTACGTGACACTATAAAAATATATTCCGAAAGTAAGAAACCATTCTCAAGAAATGTGTACAGTTGCAGATTTAAACTCGAAAAAATATGTTCATAATCCGAGATCTTCATAATCTGAACTCTCTAACCACTATGTTCCTGAGACTAACGTTTCTATTTCCAGATTTATTCTTCTATGTTGCAAAAAAAAGGAAAAATGTATGATTGAAGAACTGAACAATCCATCATATCATGATGGTACGACCGATTTATGTAAACGTTATCGTGTTCGACTTATATCTTTTTTTAATAACTTTGCCGTTACTCATCCGATGCAGAGAGTACCTGTCTTCTGTCGTTACACTTTTATATTAAAAGATACGGTTCACACATTTTGAGTCTTATTTAATATACATGTATGTCAATTTGCTTTTACTTGTAATGTGAGTGTTTTTTTTTTCAAATTTACATATTTTATTTAATCCTACGTGAATCATTTGGCCCGTTTTTCAATGAATCATTACACTAAGTGCTTAATGCAAAATGATCATTTAAAAACAAATTAAAGAACATTTTAATAGAATGTGGCGTACAGTTCAATTATAAAATGTTTTGCAATTAATATGTTAATATTACAATTTTATTTTTTAAAGAAGAAGTTATCAATAGCAGTTTGAGAAAACTGAAGAAGTTATTTGAAATCTAACTTTTTCAAGAAATGCGACTTTCATAATTATACACTTTAAATGTTTATGTTTAACGAACGGACTGCACTGTGAAATCATTTTTGATATCTTGTATAACAATTTAATTAAGTAATATAAATGTTACTAAGAAAATGAATCGTGTTGAAGTTATTTTTATATGCTTATGCTGTGAGTATATCATATTCTTTCTTCTGCATCCGCGCAGTTTGATTAGGACCCATGCTGTTCGTTATCAGTTTCTCTACTTGTTATACGGTTTGTAAGCGATGGATCCTGATCAGACTGCGCGGTTGCGCAGGCTGGTCTGGATCCATGCTGGTCGCAAACACACTATGTTGGTTTTATCGTGGCGCAGCTTATTTCATGATTGGCAAACTAGTGCAGGGAAATAGTATTTTTACTTTTTTACATTTCTTTTTTGACTAAAGGATTAAGTTTTGTTTACATTACATTAGTGTACAATGTGCTCGACTTAGAAGTACATTTACTAAGTATCAAAATTGTTCTTTTTTCCCAATAAATTATTTTTGAATCAACCAATTCTCTTTTATAAATATAACGCATACTTTGACTCTGGAAAATAAGAAAAGATCAGGATGAATATGATAATGAGACAAAATGCTCTAAAATCAAAACGAGGCTACATAAACTAGATTTTTTTAACAAAAAAGTGTGATAGAATAATAAGAGACTATATAGATAACATTGGATCGGTGAAAACCCTGGAAGTTCCACATCTTTTAAGTCGCTAGACCCTAGTTCATATTATGATATTCGCACAATTAACGAAGAATTACGTGTCAATTACCAGCTAGCTTTAAAGTTCCGTCATAAGTAAGTTTCGAGTAGTGAATCTGATTAGTTGCTGGTAAAAACCGGTGACTATATTTGTAACAGTTTAATAGTACATCTATGGTAGAAGAAGGCATTAAAATCTGAAAATGTTGAACATCAAGGGAACCTCTCTTTAAGGCATTTCACCTGTGTTTACCTTGAACTCTACAACGTTCTCATTAAATTTTGTCAAAGTGATGGTCAATGTTATGAGAAAAAAATATCATTAGGGTTTGAAACCTTATAACTTTATAACTTATAAAGGTATTAAATCATTCAATATAGTGAATATTCGTATCATATATTGATTTTCGGCTGATTTTATATGTAATTTACATTATTTAATTCGCACTGCTTGGATTTGATATTTAAACATTCAGGCATCAAATTGCAAGTAAAGGTTTGACTATTTGTGTCTTTTTGACCTCATATAAGATTTAAAAGAATATATAGACAAATTTCAGGCACCTACACAGTCACATTAAATTCTACATGATAATAGGTAAAAGAGTACGCTTTCTTGCTTGGAAAATTAAGCTTCATGACAGTATTTTAATATTGAAATGGCAAATTCGAAAGAAGTCAACATATTTTTCTATCAACAGCAACTATAGAACAAGCGTTATGCATGCAATTGCATGGCCCCAATTTAGATCGAAGCATTTAACATACCCTAGTGGATTTTAAACATGACAATGACATAAAGTTCGTTAATCTTAAGCGTGATCTCGTAACAATGAATGCACACATAAACATTAACATTTAAAGTGTATATGAAAGTCGCATTTCTTGAAAAAGTTCTATTTCAAATATCTAATTGCTACGGATTACTTCTTCAACATTATCTTGTAATATAAACATATTACAGCCAAAATATTAATTGCAAAACATTTTATAATCGAATCGTGCCCGACATTATATTAAAATGTTCTTTTGTTTTTAAACGACCCCTTTGCTTGAAGCTTTTAGTGTAATGGAACATTGCAAAACAGGCACAGGGTCCACGTAGGATTAAATGAAATATATATGTAGGAGAAAAAGACACATTATAAGTAAAAACAATGTTCATACATTTTTTAAGGCTTCAGATGAGTGTTTACCGTACATTTGAAAATAACGGTGTGTTCCGTACCATTTCAAAAAAAACCTTATGAAAATATCACTGCATTCACTAGATAAATTGGACATAGTAAATATGTAAGATTAAGCAATCATGATCATTTGTCTATGAAACAGTGAAAAAGAACGGACGACTTGCTAGAAATCGATTGCTGTGATAAATGAGTGCGTACCGTTCCCCTCGGCTCCGGCTATGAAAACAAAATTGTACTCGAATGTTCTCAAAAACAATTCAGGGGTTTTCAATAGTTTGATTAACCGTGGGTAGCTGATAGAATTACAGGTACTTTGCGCCTTATCTGATCAAAATTGGTTGAGTAACAGTAAAATTATTTTTTAAAAATCCAACTAGAATCGGTAAAAAATCTGTGTGTACCGTACCTGTGTCGTAGAGGATAATACAACAACTCGTATATATAGTATAATTTGCTGGATTAACCGGACTGAGAATCTTGCATAACTGCACAGTTAATTACTGTCATTATTAAATCATTAAACAGGCACTACTAACACTTCTTCGAGTAAAAGCAAACAGATATCCCGATTGTGAGAAAAAAACACAAAAAAACGGATTATCTTCGAAGCTTAAATGTCCATTTAGTAAACGAGTTTATAGCAACAATTCGATAACTTTCCAAAGTTGTATGCATTTAAAGAGAGGCTATTAAATATTAATGTGTTGGTAGATTTATTTTCTGTTATCTTCTAGAGACTGTGACTAAGATAGAAACTTGAGAAAAAATACAACACGTACCTGTTTTATAACTTCGGGAATATCCACAAATAATCACATTCAAACAGTCTTGAAAATTATGTTTTCACTTCAGAAAATAGTCTTTTTGACGTTATAAACCATTTTCATGGTGTACACAATTAATAACACATCCTGTGCGTATTCACATGAAATAGTCGATATAACATACTTTGATGAACTTTAAAACGGTTTTAAAGCAGCATGCCCGCAGATTCATTGAAAATGTTATAACAGAAAAACATTGTGAAGTGAACTTTGGTGGCATATTTCTGCCAACAGTTAACCGAATAATTATTGCGTTAACTATCTGACTAACTAATTAGTTTTCGTGATAACACGATAGATAATAGATAATTATCAGACTTACTAGTTTTTTTGTTAGATAGATGAATGTCATATAACTTCCAAAGAGCACTAAAGAGTGCGAAGGACTGCCAAAACTTACCAGTTAAATAATAGATAATTATATGTTTATTTATACAACTTTTGTGTTTGTTTACTTAAGTATCAGATAATTATTTGTATAACTGGATAAATTTCATGTTTATAGCACTGCAAAAATGTATGGATATACGGAAGTGTACGAGGTCCGTATATCATTAATATACGGATAGAAATACGGGAAACTTGAAATACGGAGATACAGATATACGGGGACCGTATATTATGCAATTCCGTATATGACTAATATACGGTGATCCGTACACTCGAAATATACGGGAATTTGTTATACGAAGTCCGTGTTTTACTAAAATACGGACTTTTACTAACAAGTATATTAGTAAAATACGAAAATCGGTCTTTTAGCAAATTAAGATTAACTTCTGAATTGCCCATTTCCTATATAAAGAAATCTAACATTTGTCAGACATTTATCAGAATTAATAAAAATTGAAAATTAAAAGTTTTTTAATTTAAATTATATTTTGCCTTTTGCCGTTTAAATTTACATGTTCCGGATATTTTGGATTATATGGCCCGTCCCCAAAACGTGTGGGACCGAAACGATGATATGATTTTTTATCTCGGTTATTCTTTTAATAAGAAAAAACCAAAAAAGGGATAGTATTCTAGCTAAAGGGGCCGCTTTAATTTGTTTTTTTTTAGTCAATATTGGTCTTTTTAAAACGTAAACCCCCGGAAAAGCCCTGTATTTTTTCATTTTAAAAGTATTTGCATTGTTTAAAAGGTACATAATTTTGGGGAAATTCTACTGTTCAATTTTGGGCATGTATTGCAATATATATGTCTTGTAAGTAAGGGTTTAATTTTCTTTAAAACCCCTTTTCTTCTTGGGTTTGCTCTTTTCGTTCGTCCGTCTGTCCGTTCATTCCTGCATTTTGAAGAAGATGATGATGATAATGATTCATTCATTCATTCATTCATTCATTCATTCTGATGATATGATACATTCATTCATTCATTTAGTTATTCATTTATATATTTATTCACTTATTTATTCATTCATTTATTCATTTTTATTGATTAATCTATATTTTTATATATTATTTAATTGATTGATTGATTTATTTATTTACTAGCGATGCAAAAGAAAGAAATATTTTTATTTTGTTACAAATATCCAATAAATTATAACGCATTCAAAGATTAAAAGTAGCGTTTGCTTATACAGGGCTGGGAATCAAAACTGCGTCGTATCCTACAAAATGTAAACAAACGCCGCCATCTTGGAACGTAAAACGTATGTTTTTGTTTATAACTTTTTTTGTTGGAAATGACTGAAAACCAGCAATATGTATTAACACGCTACACTATTTTCCGCTTCGTTCGGTATATGTTGCTTGCACAACTATTTTGTAAAACAAAAGTTATAGCGAACTTACATCTCGAAGCGGGGCAGATTTTTTATGAAAATGTGTGGATACGACGCAGTTCATATTGCTTTATCTATCGTTTTTTCCTTCAAATCAATTATATATTTGTTTCAAAGTTCACCATAAACATCGAAATATAATTTTGCACCATTTACTAAAATTTCATTAAAAAGAGATGTTTATTTTCTTAGAAAATAATGATTTTTACGAAATGATACGACGCAGTTGAAAATAAAATATGATACGACGCAGTTGTATTTTTGCCAGTCTTTTCAACAAGGATAATTTTGGCAAAATATTTCTATTTTATGGAATAATCACTTGCGCTAGATAAAAAAAAACCCAGATCATTTGCGGTGTATAGCAATGTTCTGTTGCTTTTGATTATTTAGAATACATTTTGTCATGTCCAATATAACATTTAATGTGAAAGTTTACATTGCGGAAGCTACTTTTCAGTTAAACATGTTACCTAATTGATCATAATATCTGAAATAGTTTCTTATATTTTCCTGTATGTTCAATATTATCCCTAATTTTTTTCGCAAAAAAATATAGAAATCTATTAATTTGAATTCATGTTGGCTAGCTACGCTCTAAGTTAACTGTGGTTCTGCATGTTCTGGGTAATGACTGCTTTTTTTTGTGGTTTGTTTTCAAACTTTCACTCTACACATTAGCTTTACTAGGGACAAGGACCTCAGGTGCGCCTTTGTGCATTATTTCAGACAAAATGTTGCACCTGCAGAGAACCATCGACATTTTGAAACTAGTTTGATAGGTTTTCCACACGAAAGAATAAAAAGTCCCTGGTGGTTTTCGAAATCATAGCAGTTCAGTTCAGTTCAAGTGATTTGAATTCAGTAAACATAAACAGCTCGGCCACGGTCGGACACACCTGTCTGATTTGTTTTTTTTTCAGCAAAATTTGTTAACGTCAGCTGTACAAATAAGCAGCTTTTTTATTAACTTCTGGCGTGAAGTTATAAGATTATAAATATTTGAATTAATTATAAAGAGAATAACATTTAAAATTCTTATTTCGGTATGACTAGCAGAGAAATTTTCAATGTAAACAGGGGGTAATCCTCTGTGAAGTCATTTTCTGAAAACCTTTGATTAAGTTTTCAGGCAATTCATTATCAAATAAAAATCACACTTTAGTATGAAGGTATGTTAAGATGCCATGTCTCTAGTCTGTTGAAAATTCGATGCGATAATCTGCCCTTAATTTTCTGTTCAATAATGTGAAAACTTCTTCAATACTGTTGAAAGATCATGTCTGCCTATATCTGTATCAAATTTATCGGTACACAGCGTAAAATACTTTTGCAAAACAGACACCTTCTTCACAAAATAATCTGTAGTTGTATCATATGAAACTCGATTTTGAAAATTTAAAGTTTTTTAATGGAAAAGAATGATACTTAAATTAAGTGCAAATATAGAAAATACAGTCTTGCATATCAGATTGGCGTTTTTGTGAGTTTTACCCATGCCGGAAATTTCATCTGGCATGGGGGGTTCCAGATGAGTCTCGTGCTGTACAATGGCACGCTTAGGATGACGTCATTTTACCGTTATGAATGTTAGTTGTAATTAATACGCTCTTTTAAGAAAGTAGTTAACGGTTGTAATGATATAAATTTTCATTTGAAAATAAAGATAAAGAATTTAAAATATAATCGAATATTGTAGAATATGTAAAAAAAATCTCTGACATATGCTTGCGGTTCGGACCGGAATATCCGTCCCGAGGTGACCCGCCCATGGGCGGTAACTCGGCAAGCCTCGTTACCGCCCAATGGGCGGGTCACCTCGGGACGGATATTCCGATCCGAACCGCAAAAATACGACAGATATTATTATTCCGTAGACCTTTCCTCATCGGCGTGAAAATATGCAATACGACAAAATCAGAGGTAACGTTCCGCAGCGCTGAACATAAAATGACTAAACGGAACGCATAACCTACTTACAAAAATATATTGTAGCTTATATAACCATTTATAATATAATTTTAAAAATTTAATGTTCAGATTCAAATAATAAAGCTCATCTGTTCTCATCGATTACCAAGAAAATGAATACAATAAAATCGGCACGTAAAAGACATAAGTAATAACGGAATTGACGGAAATTATTGCTCATTACAAGTAACAAAGGTAGGCATGCAATTTGCGCATAGCTCTCTTCCGATAGCAAGAGACCTTTTCAAAATCTGTAATTCTTTCTCTCTTTTTTTTTTTTTAAAAAAATGTCATTCCTGATTAATACTAGTACAGGGTTCAGGAGAGGTTACACTGGAATATTGAATTTTGTATCAAAAATAGTAATCACTCCCATTTCGAACTCACGGGAACAATTTTAGAAGCATGCTAAGGCAACACTTGAACACGTTGTCATATGTGTTTGCGATCACGACGTGTTTATTGCACAATGTGTATTGCGTTTGATACATTTTTTCGGAATTTGTAGATGCTTATGATAGGAACATTTATCTAAATGCGACCGAAAAATGCAGCCTTAATAGAATTGTATTACATTTCCATTTTTATGGAATTCTGCTTTTGACTTAAGTTGTAAACAAGAAATGTTGTTAGACGTTATTAGCATACATAGCACATAATTTAAATAGTTTAAAACCAATATGCAGCCTTCAATGAAAATACAACTGCGTCGTATCATATTTTATTTTCAACTGCGTCGTATCATTTCGTAAAAACCATTATTTTCTTGGAAAATAAAGATCTCTTTTTAATGAAAATTTAGTAAATGATGCAAAATTATGTTTTGAAGTTCATGGTGAACTCTGAAAACGAGTATATAATTGATTTGAAGGAGAAACGATAGATAAAGCAATATGAACTGCGTCGTATCCACACAATTTCATAAAAATTCTGCCCCGCTTCGAGTTGCAAGTTCGCTATAACTTTTGTTTTACAAAATAGTTGTGCAAGCAACATATACCGAACGAAGCGGAAAATAGTATAGCGTGTTAATACATATATCTGGTTTTCAGTCATTTCCAACAAAAAAAGTAATAAACAAAAACATACATTTTTCGTTCCAAGATGGCGGCGTTTGTTTACATTTTGTAGGATACGACGCAGTTTTGATTCCCAGCCCTGTTATAGAATTGTCAACAAATGCACAATGAATAAATATATCATTTTAACTATTGCTAAATGGCTATTAATTTCCGTAAAGCTTCGGATTATTGTGATCGGAATAAAACATTTGGTATTTAGACTTTCTGAAAATAAAAGTAAGGATGTAACGTTGACTCTAGGACAGGGACTAATTTAGGGCAGTCGACGATCGATAGTTAATTTCTACACCCGGTAATATAATCCACGTATTTTAGCGATGTCGATAACCGAAGACTTCAGAGCATATTACACAAATAAATTTGATTGCCGAGTAGTGGAGTATCTACATGTTGTACTGTTTTGGC